AAGTCATAACTGCAATTAACTGCGACGTCTTTATTGGATAGTCTGATTAAATTTAATATTATATGTTAAGCATTTGGTACTCGAAGGAATATAATTTACAAGATATTAGTCAAGATATGAACAAAATTACTTGTTCTATAAATATATAGCGGATAAATTAATGTGAATTGCGATTTATCATTCACATCGAGCAGTGTATGGTGTGAGTTATTAAGAAGTAAGTTTACTGAATGAAAATATTTACAAATTAATCTCTTAAAATTGTCTCAGAATTAACAATTTCAAAATGGAACTGTAAAAATTCCTAATTGGGAATATTACAGAAAGGAACTTTAAAAATTTCTCACAAAAATATATTTTTGGGTTCAATTAATATCTGGGGATATTATAAATGGGGAGAGATTTACGAGAGATTTTTAGGATTTAATCCAGAGGTTTTCAAAAGTGGTGTCGTGCACACTAGGCTTCTATGTGCTAGTACAATGACACTTCAAAGGTGCCACAAAATATAGTGTTGAGCAACACAATAACACTAATACTATCGGATATCAATTACTCTACATTGTTAAAGAAGTAAGGATGCTGCAAGAAAAAAAATTACTAATTTGGAGATGCTACTATTAGAAAAAGGTTAAAAACTCTGGCTTAATCTAATTAGAGATAATTAATTGTGATTAAAAGGAACCCTAAAAGTCTCTTGCAAAGAGAGATTTTTAGGGTTCAGCACATCTTTCAAAAAGTGAGATTTTGGGATTCTGATAATATTTCAAGACAAATTAACAACCCAATTACAAAAAGAGAACCCTAAAAATACTTCACGAAGAGTGATTTATGAGATTCAGCTAACATTTCAGGACAATTAACAATTATAAAAAAAAGGAACCGCAAAAATCCCTTTTTATAATTACTAATTGTTCCACATATCAACTCCAAATTCTGTATTGACCGAGATCATTACAAATGACTCCAAAAATCACACTTTATAAGATATCACTTGCAGTGATTTCAGTTGGCAGGTGGAAGAGAATTTCTCCACGCCAACGGGGAGAAAAAAAAAGTTTAATTTTGATGGATCTGACGGATGTAATCAATATTAGAGCAATCTGTAAAGAAGGAAATATATTTTATTAAGTCTTAGTTAAGAGGAAAACTCGAAAATAATTTAGGAAAGGTGAAAAAAAAATATAAAAAATTTATTTATTAAAGAGATAATGAAGGTAAATAATTATTAATAAGCTAGATATTTATTTAATGTAACAAAAAATATCGCAAGAAATTGTTACTTTATTGTCTTTGTTTTTTTTTATAAATTTACACAATAAATTATGTATTGGAGTAATTTTTTAGAGAAACTAAAATTGTTTGTTCAGCGGAGCAGTGCCTTGGCGTAGAACTTAAACAGAGCATTAAATGATAAATGGAAAGAAATTCTTCTTGACATGTTTCCTAATTTAATTTAAACCATTTGAATGCATACTTTGAAGTTATTTTAAGTAGGGAAGGTATCTTTATGGAGTTATTAAATTTCATTTTATTCAGAATTTGCATTTTAAATCTTTTGTTTAATTCTCTTCTATTGATCCGACAAAGATATTGTTGTCATGTTTATAAGTATTGTTTTAATTCAATGCAATGTGATATCTTTCGTATTCTTTTTTAAATAAAATAATGTAGAACATAAAAAGTAAATAATAAAATAAAAGAGAGTGTGGGAACAATGATTGTTATTTCTTCCAAGGTAATCTTAGATGCCTTTATGTAATTATTTATGGTGAATTTTTTATGTTTATCACAGAAGACCATTATATATTTAATTTTTAAAAATCAATTTTGTTTCTTTTGCTTGATATTTAAAGGCTATTATATTCATTTATTGTTTACTTTAGCATATAATGAATTTTCTTGTTATATGGAGTATTTTTAGACATTTTCTGCTAAGTAAAAATGTGTAGTTCTGTTTAAAGTTCACAAAAGTTTTCTATAGGAAAATGTGTTTATATAATCTGAAAATTATGAAATAATTATTGAACATGCTAATGATACTTCTACGTGGGTTTTTAATAGTCATAGGTAGGTTAAGAATATTTATAATTGACTAGAAAAGCTTAAGAGATGCTCCTTCATCTTATTAATACATGTAATTCAATGAATTTCTACTAAAACAAGTAAGTAAAACCACATTTCTATTCAAAACTCATAGACATTTCTGTTCGTACGACCCATTTCCCTAAGCATATGAGCATAGAACCATAAAAAGAGATGCCCATTTATTCTTTCTAGCCATAGTTTTATTGGAAGTTCACAAAACTTCTTATCAGTTCGATTCATTTCCATAGACAAATAGCCTCAGAATCATAAAAGATGCTCATTCATCTTACCAATATATAAAATTCAATGAATATTTGAATTACAGTCCGCTTCAAATGTTAGTATAATTCAAGGTAAGTTTCCATCTTTCTTTATATCAGCATTCACCCAACAACATCAATATCTTTAATATAAAATTTTATTTACTAATAAATAAAGACTATTTACATTTGTTTAAACTATGTAAATTTGTTTGACAAATATTTAGAAATAACAAAATTATTCAGAGACAGTTTTTCAAATGTGTAGTTTGTTTGTATTACTCAATTGCTTTATAGAAAATTAGGAAAATATAAAAAGTAAGCTGAATTAATAAATAGACAGTGTAACTTATTAGGATAGAATAGATGTAAGAATGTATTTTGTTTTTTTTAAGCTTATAGCAATTTTCAACAAACAGCAAACCCACTCTTAGCAGAGAGTTGTTGGAATTTCTTATGAAAATTTCAGAGTCCAGAGTGTCTATAAAGACAATATATCATAAAGACTTATGCATTTATCTGTGGAATTTATATTAGTTAGGAGGAATAACCTTTCTAGTTGTTTGTCTCATTTTTTTACTTGCTGCATTAAGTCTTGGATATCTCATAGAAGCAATGATCCCACTATACCCATTATTAACCTCACTATAGTGTGTTCTCCTCTTTGATCCGCTTTGTGATTGATAACGGTGAAGATACCCCCTTCCATACATCACTAAGTGCTCTATCGTCTCTTTCAAAAGAAAGAAAAAAAAGAATTCCAGACATTGGGGTCAGTTGGGAGACATGTTTAATTTATGCATATATTTTTCATAAAAATGATTCAAGAAAACGAGGGCGGATATTTATCACAGCTCTGTTAATGATAGGAATGGTTCACAGCCCACTACACGGCAATTTTTCTTTAGTACGAAGTTACTTAAAAGTATTCATATTTAGATAAAAAGAACATTTGTGAATATGTTTAAGACACGTCAGCTGCTTTACGTACTTATTCCGGTATATAAATATGCAAATTCTTTCCCGAAATTTTTATGATGCTTCCTTGACATGCTATCGTAAAGACGTAGAGTGCGCCAACTAATAATAGGTACAACCACTTGTATTGATTGCCTACACACCAGGTGCAACCGGATAGAGTACTCGTTCTAAATGCCCCTCCCAATACTTTTATGATATATAATATATTAAACTCGTGCCATTTTATTTTACTGCTTTTTACGTGAAATTCATTACTCTTTTCTAAATTTTTGCATCATTTTTTTACGAAATGGAAAGAATACACGAACAAACTATTCGATTATTAAACACGTAAGACAGAGAAAGAGGAGGAATTGCCCTAAACGAAAAAACTATTCAATTATTGAACAGTTAAGACAGAGATAGGGAAAATCGCCCTTAACTAAAAAATCTATTCGATTATTAAACAGTTAAGACAGAGATAGGGAAAATCGCCCTTAACTAAAAAATCTATTCGATTATTAAACAGGTAAGACACACACAGAGAGAGAAAGAGAGAGAGAGATACAGAGGGGGGAGTCACCCTAAACGAAAGACTAATGTACAAAATCGATATCAAAAGATCTTTAAGCTGTTGTAAATCCTCTATATTTCAAACCGACAAGCTCTTAGTTGTGCTAAAAGTAAGATTATTCGACTCAGTTTTGTAATGTATCAATTTTTCTCCTCCTCCTCCTTCAAACTGTTGGAAGAGATTAACCTTGAAGAGAATTATCTTCCGACGTAAGAGAGCACGTGATCGGGAGGGGTTAACAAACTTTTCGTAACGATTAATATGTAAGGAGAGATGACAAGAGTTTAATATAACAGATTCGATCACGCGAAAAATGATTGCATTCTTGTCATTTCATTTGGTTAATGTTAGATCCCATTTAATCTAAACGGAATTATTTGATCGAATTAATAATATTGAATAAATCTGACATCGATACGTCTACAATAACAATCAGTATCAAATGTTTACTGTTTCAGTATTGACGGTAACTAGTTTAGTTACTCGATCTGCTGATCTATAATATCGATCGTTTAGCTTTAAATAACCTAACGTCTATATTCTGTTATAACAAGAGAAATTGACAACAACAATATATAATATTGATGTATTTTGTAATCAGCTGTTTATATCGATTTCAACAATGAAGTCGATCAGGTGACGAAACTGATCTTTTTTTATTTCTTTTCTTTTTCGATCAGCTGATTGATCGGCGCGCAGCGCCATCTACGTTCGATCGTTTAACTGCATTTTCGTTAACAGAAAAAGCCAGCTTTTACGTGAAAAATTATCATTTTTTTATTAATTTTTTTAAAATAAAAAAATACAAAATTATTATTTTACAATTCTTTCATATTTTTTTATATACACGTTATATTATATATAAATTTTTTTTTGTATTTATATATTTGTATATAGTATATAAATTAAATAATTGCCTATACCGTCATCTATCGGCTGTTAATCTTACTAAACATAAAATTCTGAAATACAGTATTTTATTCACGGACGTACAGTACATCAATTATATTCGTGACAGAGATTCGAAGGTTTTAATTTATATTTAGGTGNATACATGTAAATATATATATATATATATAAATAACAAATAATGTTAGTTTGTATACGAAATTCGAGTTTATAAATAAATAATTAAAGAAAATAACCGGTAAAAATTCGACTGAAGTGGGTTGGTAACTTAGTTACTCGGATTTATCTGATTATTCGTCACACCACCTAACTGGATGATATTGTGGTCTTATAGTTAGTAGAAACGGGCCTGAATCCGGTCTTTGAATAATTTTGTTTTTGTGGTGTTTTTTGATAACTGGACACCTTGTAACTCGTTCTGATAGGTTGACCCTTAACGGCCGAGTAACTGGGAGCGCCATATACTGACTGAGGCAGAACGTATCGTGTGTTACCACCCTGATACGGTTTGAAATATTTCTGTAGTTGTCTATAGGGTATGACCTGAGGTTTATAACTGCTTTCCGACATAAATAAGGGCTTGGAATTTGCTATATTTTCCATTTTGAATCCGTTAAAAAGGTAGTGGTTCGGATAGAATTTCTTCTTATCCCTTCGGAAGAAAAGGGCATTCATCAGGTTCCTAATCCTGGTGGTTATCCCCGGTCGGTAGGCTGGACTTGTTTGGTATCGGTAAGGTGATAGAACGTGGAAGTTGTTCCCGTATAGATTCTGATATCCATTTAGGAATTGCTGATAGTTGTCTAACGTCGACTGTTGTGCCGATGTGCTGCTTCGACATGTATTACATGCCAGAATTACAATGGCTAATATCTAGAGGAGAAAAAATAGAATTACTTAAAATAAACTTCATAAACAACTCATTTAAAAAGTGTCCACGAAAGCAATATATAAATACAGTGGAAGATAAATTTTTTTAGTGTGTAACGTGTCAGTTTTAATGCCCATATTAGGTGGCGATGACCTCGCAGCTTGCTTTCCTATCTTACATAATTTTTCACCTCCCGTGTCACTAGAAATATCCGAAAAATCTTCCTATTGGCATAAGAGTTAAACCAGTTTACTTTACTTCCGTGTTTAAACTCACCTAATGAACTTGACACTTGTTAAAATCACAACTGCGTAAACATTAAATTTTATCGATTTTTTGAAATATTTTTGAAGGATGACGTCTAATCTATCTTCTACACGAAAGCTGTTAAGCAAAAGGATCGTCTCGCTGATGTCTCGTAAAAATAGATGACACTCGGGTAACGGGTACAGTTTATCATCCGTTAAAACAAAGATTGCAAGGGAATTTAACCCAGTTCCCACCCCCGATAACACTAAATATAGTGCGTAGAATCGTATTAAAATCTGAAAATCCTACAATACAAATGCGTCGTGTTTGCACGTATATCAGTCAAACACGAGGCCCACTTCCTGATCCTACCCAAAGCCGTGACCTTCTCTGCATTCGATACGAGGTCACATCTTTAACACCCGGAGCTAGCAGTGACCTATATCTCCCCCTTCGATTCCTCCTCCCTGAAATTACACAGTCTACAAGGAAAATTTTTACGCTCTATAGTCTATAGTTAACACACATTTACAATAAGAATCATACTTTAAGTGGGAAAAAATAAGGGTAAAAATGTCCACCCACGTCACTTAATATATATATATATATATAGAGATACATTCTTTAATATAACATTTATGATTTTTTATAGATACATAATATAAAATTTAAAAAATTAACAATTTAAAAAAATATATTTCAACCTAAAAATTAAAATTTAAACACAATTAAACCCTTTACATCTGTTGAAACTAACAGAAAAATGGGTATTTAGTGATTAGCCAGTGCGAGACATTAAAAAATTAAATATAAAATTAATAAGAAGCTCGTCTCCATCAGATTCAATAAGAAAAAAATAAAATAAAAATGCCTTACCTGTAACCAGCTGTTCTTCATTTTACAGAAAGGATGAAGCTAATGTCTTTCCAGTTCCGCGTTGAACTTGCCTTATATAGCTTGACATCTTCTAGGTCAATAACTGGGAGATCTGTACCAATAAGAAGCCTCTTGCAGATTAGGGTCGATCATACACCGCCTTCAATGAACGTAAAACCTGTAATAAGTATATATTTAAGCGAATTTAAACAGTGTTAATGAAGAAAATTTTCAATAAATCTTTCGAATTTAGCAGTAAAAATGAAAGAAAGAAAGAAAAATTTAATTTAAATTAAATTAATTAATTAAAGTAAATCTTATGTAAATTCATAAAAATAAATTAAATGTCTTATACCTTCAAAAGTGGATATTTAATTAAGTCTTATTATTACTAATCGAGAGTTTTAAACATCATTAAAACCGAGACGTTTATTGTGTTTTAGAAAATATATATATACAATATACATTATTTTTTTCCTTTGTTTATGTGTTTGCAGTTAACAAGTGTCGTATTTTTCACGCTAGATGGCGCTGCAGCAGCTGAATGAAATATACAAATTAAGCGAGACCGAGTAAGTGAAATAGATTAAAATTAACTTTAATTGAGTTCCATTTCATACTTTAAATTTCATTTAATAGGTTAATCGCGGTTAAGAAATGTGTCGATTACGTTTAAACGCGTTTAAAAAAAAATTTAAATCAATTTCTAATTTATATCTGTTGCATATTTAATTGTAATTAAACAACGGCGGTGTTTACGGAGACGAAAGTGTAAATTTTTAACACGTTTTTTTTCTTTTTATCCTTTTCTTTAAAAAATCCTTTTAAAGATTAATCTTATATTTAAATAGCATTTTGTATAATTGAGAAACAAAATAAATAAACAAACCAAAGGCTAATGTAAATTGAGTTTTTACGTGAGATTTTTCTAGTTTAGTAAATAAATTTAAAAGAAAAATTAAACAATAAAAAAAAAAAGGAAAAAAAGTGAAATGTTTTATACATTTTTTATAGCTTACATTTTACTAAGTTCTATGGAGAGGGATGGAAGGGTGAGGTGTGAAGGAAAAAAAAAAAAAAGCCTTTTATGGACCATTTTTCTTATATTCTATTTATTATTTAACGGATGTAAATGCGTGTTAATCATTAAAAAATTAATAATAATAATAAATAAATTACGTAAAGTTTTTTTTTCTCTCTTACGTAAGCAACAAACGATAAGCAAAACTTGACCTTAACAATATATAAATTCCAAGTGGGTTTATTAACAACCAACCTACCAATTAACATAATTGGTAGACCACATATATAGGAGATATTATTTCCTGTTTAAGTCGAAAACATTAACCTGAAAATACGTGACGCATCGACAGGTGTAACAACATCCCTTAAGGATGGTGTTTGAACATCCACCCTTGGTTGTCACGTGGGGGGTGACGATATCCGACCGGTTGGCCCGATTCGCATCCGAAGTGTACATTTGTAAATTCTTAATAGTTAAATCAAACCGTGGGTAGGCGTGGCATGGGGTATAGCTAGCTAATGCCATCTAGTGATGGTAAAAGTTACCACAAAAGCGGTTAGTTGGGAAGGATCATCTACCGAGGAGCGAGAGAGAGAGAGAGAGCGAGAGCTAGTGTGTGTGTATGTGTGCATCTGACAGAAGCCCTCTTAGGATTGTGTGATAACCACCTGACTTTAGGAAATAAAGGATTATATCCCTTATTTTGATTTACCTAATCTGTCCATAACGGAGTGATTGAAAGGAAAACAGGAAAAAAAGGGAGAAGTGGAGAGGGTGCAACTGTGCCCAACTCGGCAGCCATGAAGTGCATCTTGGTGTTATTTTGTCTTTGTGTAGTCATCCGGTGTGAGAATATTTTAGATGCCATAAGTAAAAATCCAAATCTATCGAAAGTAAGTTCTTTCATATATATATATGTATATGTAGATTTTTTTTCCTTCGTCGTTACGAGGTGTAAATCCCGTAACAAAGAAAAACCTTATCGATCCGAAGAAGGTTAATTTTTTGAAGTCGGGATAACATTGATTGTTTCGTATTTAACGCGAAACGGGCGACTTTTTTTTCCTTTAAAAAATTAAAAAAAAATTCTTCCCCCCAAATTCTTTAGCTGGTTTTTTCCCTAGTGTTAAATACTACCTTAAGGGCTGTGTAGTTACCATATTGTTAAACCGTGTAGACAGTGTAGCGCCTTTGAATGACTCAGCCCCTACATAGAATCGATTCTATATAATGTCACTCTCCTAAACGTATCCTGTACAACACACTCCTATACAGTCAATACTAGAGGATAGCTTTTCCTTTATGCACCTTTTAACTGTCTTCTTTCTATCGAAGCAACTCGTGCTGCTCTAGTTTATCTCTTGTCTTATTTTCTATCGAATTAAAGTTAGTTGCAGTTCTCTCTTTTTTTTAACCATGAATATAACCATTTGTCTCGTAATTAAATTGAAATAATAATAAAAACTATATTCTTGTGTGTTCGGAGAAAGACCTCCCGAAAATCGATATAGAGTAACCAACATGATTTGCCTGTCGTTGACAATAAAATGTTATTTAATTACTAAATAAGGGTCTTTTTCGAATTGTCACCATGGCAATAAATCTAATTTTTTTTAATTCTAATTACTTTAATTTATATATATGAGTAAATGTACATAGAATTCTCCATTTTTACAACGTAAACAATAGATTTTTCTCCATTTTTATTTTTATTTTTAGAATAATCTTTTATTTTATTTTAAAGACATAATCTTTAAACTTTCTAAAAAAAGATTCAATGTAAGATTTATTTATTTTCTCTTAAGAGATTTTGTTTATACTTACTAAAGATAAACATTATTCAATTACCTGTAAACGTTAGAGTTAAGGCCCCGAAGTTTCCTCTGTATTAAACAATAACGAATTTATAATCGCGAGGCCCTAAACTGTACCTCGACACGTGAATATTACGTAGTATTTTCCACCTGGTTATATAAAAATATAATTTTAATAGGTTTAATATAGTATTACACTGCATGTACAGTAATATATAATAGTAGTAGCACCAGTGTAGTGCGTATTTTTTCGTTTACAACGTTATCAATAGAGAAAGAAACAAGAAGAATTGGGTACTTTCATCATGTACGGTGTCAAAGAAAATAATAAATTATTTTCCCAGAAGTCTCATTGCTAACAATGAAAGAACAACAATGCTTTTATTGGAGTTCTACTAGATGATTCACTCATCATCTGGCAAAACTCCATAATAGAGTTTAAAAGAAAGAAAGAAAAAAAAAAGAATTGTTTCACCCAGTAGCCCCTAACAGAAGGGGAATTAATTTATGTCTAGTTATATTTAATTGGGATTAAACCGTGTGCCCTCCTATTGTTGTATTCTCTCTCTCTTCGTTATCCAGTTCTGTCATTATTAAATGCATCGTGCTTTAAATATGTAGATGATCTTTAAGAATCTTCTTACTCTTCTTCTTTTTGTGTTTGAAATTAGTTAATTTTCCCCTCTTTTCGTCCGAATTTCTCCCTCCCCTCTTCGCCCGAATTTCCTCCGTTTTAGATTAAACTGAAAAAAGTTTTCTTTCAGTTCGCAGCTCGCTGCTCTGCGAACTCGTTTATTGACGTCTCCCCTTAATGAGAAATTGTCGAAATTTGAACTTCGTGCGAAATACGGCAGATGATTAATGCCGCAGAAATTGCTTTCCTGCGTTTTTAAGTGGGTTAATTATTGTTATGATGCGTTACGTTACGTTTATATATGGGCGTTGATGATTATCTGTTTATATTTGGTGCGTAATGAAGTCCTGTTATGCGTTAGCTCTGTTTAGATAATTAGTATTGTTCGATGTAGGTCAGAAGGGTTTGCAATATATTAGCTGGTAGTGTAATCGAGTAGGATTTCATAGAATTTTCGGTTCTCCGGTTGGAGTGAACCCCCCCCATCAAATTCTCCCGATTAGAATCGGAACAGGTGGGAGACGTCACCACATTCTGGACCGCAACCCCACCCAGTTTGAGCCTCTTCTTATTCTTAGCTTCATCACGAACAGCCAATCGAAGATCAATGCTGTAGGTAGCCAGAGGGGCCGGAAGTCGTAATGAACGAAAACAATTCTGACCCCGAGGGCATCCTACAAGACGGAGGGAATCAACAATGAATATAGTTAAAACATAGAGCAATGGGAGGGCCTCCAAACAACGAACGAACGGTGCTTTGTAAGGAAGCCCAACTCTTATCGATTTCGGAGGGGTGTCGTACTTCACTCCAGATATTTACGACTCTCTCGACCACGTCATAGCTTTACGACTTCTCTCGATTATCGCTGATTCCCCCTAACCAGTACATCAAGTTGGAATTAGAGAGAAAGAGGGGGGAGGAAAATCGAATTTAAACCATTAAAAAAATTTTTTTCCCCTATTTCCTGGGAGTGGGAGCCTAAATTGACAATTAAAATGCTAATTCGGTTCTAACAGTGTATTAAGGTGAAGCACAGCAGGTAACTAATTGAAGTTATCAATGGACTTACGCGCTAACCCCTACGGGCACGTCCCATCACTCAACAGTCCGCTGAACATGAATGGCAAATTAAACAAGTAAAAAAAAAACATAGAAAAAAATGTGATGATGAAAGGCAAACTGTGTCAAATGACGTCATAGTATCCTGTTTTATTATACAAAAGAACTTATTACTACTACTATGTTAGAAGATTACCTTTCAGAATTCGCTTCAATGTTTTCTATCTTATCTTTACTAGACTTTCATAAATAATGATGTTCTTAAACTTGTTCACTCTTGATATTTTTTGAAGATAAAAACTTCTTTTTTCACCCCCCCACACTCCAATCAATACCTTCCAACTAGATGTAATACAAATAAGAACATACTTTTATATAAAAAGAAGAAAATAATATTTTTAGTAAGCAAAAGTGTACATTATTTAAGCCATTTCCTGTTATTTTATCGCACAGCGAAGAGAAATCTATAATAAAATTGATTTATAATTTAATTTTTGAATGATAATGGTGAAAAATTACTCGGCGGAGCAAGTAGATTCAGTTCTCTCCTCTCATCATCTTCCCTCTCCACCTACTCCGCGGTCTCAAAACCGAAGAAGAGGAAAAAAAAAAACAACGGATGGAGCAATAGGTTGCAATGGCTAAACAATTGCTACAGCGTACGAAATTGTTAAGCGGGCTCGATACATTCTTAGAAAATTAAAGGTGCGACCATTATCAAAATATCCATCTAAATTATTCTTCCATATTAAAAGCCTCTTTAAGATAATTTGGAAAAAAACAGATTCCATAATAAGTAAATCAAATTACATGGCGATAAAATGCATCTATGATTGGATTTCTTTTCTCTCCTATATATTTTTTTTTATGCTTCTTATTTTTGTGCTCTTTCCCCTCTTAATATTCCAAAAATTAAATTAAACAGAAAAATTGTTTTGAAACAAAACAGAAAATAAATTTGCATAATAAATGAAGTAGTAGTAGCCTGGCTACTACTAAGTTTTAATTTGTTAATTACTCAAATTGGATTAATGTTTACAGATTTTTTTATTTGCCAACGTAGATAAAAGTTAATTTTTTGGCCAATTGACATTCCGCCACGGTTGTAATAGGGGTTGTTATTTAATGTATGTATCCCATTGGATTTCTGCTTTCACTTCATTTTCTACATATTGCTCTGGTTTGTTCTCAGAGGGGAAACATCTCTCTGCATTTTTATTTATTTTTTTTTCCCTCTTATTTTTTAGTCTCCGAAACATTATTTTCCTTTCTTTATTCGAGTTTCAATACTAAAGCCAATTTGGACTGATTCCAACTTCTGTTCCTCTTCACTTCTCATTAATTCTCTGTGTTATGGAAGGGTAAAAAAAATTTATATATTGTTTTTTTTTTTTGTTTGTGACTTTTTCAAATTATTACAAAATAATAGCTATCATGTAATGGTAGTTTATCTTATAAGAAAAAAAAGGTAAAAGCACTATTTTATTTGTAATTAAAATTTAATAAAAAAAAAAACAAAGTATAAAAACAGGGAGGAAATACTGTTGATGGAAATTTAACTTTCAATAAAATATGGTAAAAGCTTTCGGGCTATCTGTTTATAGAGGAAAAAATACACTTAAGAAGTTATCATCGCCATCTGTCTAACCTTTAAGAACTTTAAACCCGGCAGAACATTTGTATCTGATAGAATAACTATCAAAGAACCTGTAACACTATGTAATTCTCTGCTTAAAAATATTCTGTACAAGAATCCCTTTTATTTAAATGACATTAACAAATTATAAATTTATTTAAAATGTTCTGTTTTTTTTTGTTCGAACAGACCTAAATCATGTATTGCTCCCAATGAAGGTATGTAAAATAATTGAGTTAGTCCCGAGTTTGCATAACCAAACATAGTTTGTCGGACGACACGATACACGAATGCTCTTGCTCTTCTCGGAGACTGCTTTGTTGCATACTGGATAAGAGAGAGCTCGAGTTGCAATTTTACTGCTTCGGCCGAACCTATAAAAACTTTTTATCTGAAGAACACCTTAAAAAAGTTATTCAGGAAACTAATTCATTTCTTATAGAGAGAGGAGGAGAGGAGAGAGAGAGAGAGATATAGAGATAGATAGATAGAAAGACATGAATCAAATTAGTTTTAGATGATACAATTTGATAAAATTTTAAAAGGAAAATTAAAATATTTATTAAGATAATCTAAATTTTTACATAAAATGAAATGTTAAAAAGTTACTTATTGATTAGCAATTTTTTTCCATTTGTACTTTATACTCACTCATGAAAAAAAATATTTTCCACTACATTTTATTTATTGATGTTAATAAATTAAGAATAAAGACTTTTATAGGAAATAAAGGCAAATTAAAATGCTGATATTTGAAAAACTGATCAATAATTCTTTTAGCCAAAGTGAATTGGGAGAGACAAACATAAGAGTTAATGTTTAGAGAAAGGAACATCTTCATCTCTAATTTTCTTCCCACTCGCGGAGTCATTTAAGAAAGTTAATTTTCTTTCCAGCTTTATGGAAGGAGATAAATTTTCTTCTTTTGCATTTTTCTAACCTTTACTGGTATGTGACGCTCCGATACATATGAATAATTTAGTCGATTTTGGGAAGTGTGTCAACCGGCCTTTACACCTTACGGAAAATAGAAATGATGCAACATTCATTTTAATTTCAAATTTGCAAGGAAAAAGAAGAAACTTGCTAAGGAGATTTATACATTTAAGAGAAGTTAATGTGCATAATTGTAAGTGATTGAACTGTAAAAACAGAAATGTTTTTTTTTTTTTTTATTATACTTGATTTCCTTTCTTCAACCTCACCTAGGGATATGTATGAATACATTATTTATTTTTTTTGTCATTTCTTTATTTAAAAATTTATGAAAAATACACAATTTAAGGATCATGTTACATTGTTATGATAACACATTTGGGATCCTCCTGTCAGATTTGCTGTCTGTCCCTGTTAGAAGTTGTTTGACTCCTAGTCTTATGTTGTTTTCTTTTGCTTGAATGCCTTTTTATAAATGGCTTTGATGCCCCAAATCTTATGAAAAATACATTAACTTAGAGCCGAACGTAACCGGGGAATTAAAGATTTGTAAATTTAATTATAATTCTTAATAAGAAAACAAAACTATTTAATCTCTTCATTCTCCTGATATTAATTCGAGTGCTTTTGTGAGGAGAGAAAAATAATCTTTCGAGAGACATCACTTTCTAAATCTCCAAAAGTGTTTAAGGAAGACAAATAAGACATTGCAGAATTCTACTCTGTCTACGCTTTTAAAGAAAGGTGTAAATATAAAGACTGGCAGTTGCTGTGAATAATTTATTTCCACATAAAATAATAAAATGCTTATTCTTTTATCCATCACAAGTAACATCCTACTGACCTCTTGCACCAATAACTTCTTCTCAAACAGAAAAGAAATAGTTTTAATCATGTTAAATTTAAATGGCAAATAAAAGCTTCCGACTCTTGTCAAAACCGGAATTATCATTTTGAAACATCACAAGTGAAGTAGGTGTAAAGATGGCTAGAAATGGAAGCAAACTACAAATTGTATTGTGTAATTATCATAATTATCCAATTAAAAATAAAGTTGTAGTATTTTTATTAATAATTATATCTAAAAATTTTCAAGTATTTTTTTTTATTATAGGATAATAACTGGTGTAGGTTTTCCTCTCTCTCTCTCTCTCTTTCTCTCCTCTACATCAGTTTTGACATCACAGGCAGATGTGGAAAGCAAGGTCATGGAATGTTGATTTACAGGTCATCAGTCAGAGCGACCTTACATTTTACAAGTGATGTCACCTCTATAAAAATATTCCACTTTAATATTATCATATTTTACATCTATACCATGGTCAGAAGTGCAGGAAATGAGGAATTTTTTTTTTATTTGCTAGTTTCACCTGCTTTTTGATTATTTTGTGTGTTATTTTTCTAACAAAAAAGGTAGGATAAAGGATGTAATTATGATTAAATGAATGTGTTTCATATATAAAAGGGAACCTTTTATAATCGAGAAGTGATTCAGTGCCTTTAGTCGCGTAGTGTGCATTTTTTATTATTATTATTATCTCATTTGTCAGGTTTCCACTAATAATAAGGAAGAGATTAGACACTTTCAATAATAAGGAGCTGATAAAGGATACTTTTAATCACATTATAACAGTTTCTCTCCCATTTTTAATCTGGCGTAAATAAATTTTCTGAAGGGTAAGGTGCGGCAAAACTAGTTAAGCAGGTGAAGGAAAGAGGATAGCTAAGGGACATATATTCTTCTCATCTTCTCTTGGGTTTATTAAGTGAGAAAATCATTAAAGCTGCACATCAGCACAGACCTAAACACAATTTGAATTAACCTTTTAAGATTATCATGAAGTGGGTCAAGTAGTTGTAAAGGGTTGAAGTCAAAAGTATGGGAATATTAACATGTAAACAGGATTTCCTATGATAAATGTCTTTGGATTTTTCTATTAAGAGAATCAATCTTGCTTACATTAAACCAGGAAAAAATGTAAAGAAAAAATGGCAGAACTTTATAATAAATATGTAAAGAAATGGGGGAGGGGAAGGATTGTGTTTTCAATAATTCTACTCCAGACATTTACATTCATCAAATATAGAAAAAAGAGCTTTTCTCACGCAATATTTTTTTTTAATATTAAAAAATAAATAAAATAAATCTAGATAAGACAATGATAAATTAATGATTATTATATATATCTACAATTTATTTACTATTATTTTTTTCATAAGCGTCATTTGTAGTTTTGCTTTCCCAAATAATATATTAGTGCAATCATTTGTATTCGGATGCGATACTACAATCGATTTTTCAGTTTTCGTTTCGTCCCATTGATTTTTTTTATCTGCAGACAGACCCTTAAAAAGGAAGAGAGAGGCTGATGGGAAGAGGAGGAGGAGGAGGATGGAGAGGAGAAGGAGGAAACAGGGATGCCCAGAGGGAGGGAAGCAGAATTGTTTCTGAATAATAATCAGAGCTAGATAAGAATAAGATACGACAACCCCTATCAATAATCCACGATTGGAAACTAATAAATTTACGGCAGTGTGTCGGTCTGTAACTTCCTTCTTACAAATGTGTAAAAGGAGGAATCGAAATCTGTTAGGAAGAGGATTCCGATTCTTAAAAAAGTCTTTTAAAATAGGATGAAGCGAAAGGGGAGAAAAATGATCATAGACCGGTGTCGGTGCCACATCACTAAATTCAGCATTATCTGCAAAATTTAAATGAAGTAGAAAAGGACGACGACATCAAGAAAAGGGTGAAGGAATGCGAAGAATGGATCCCACGATTCTAATCTTTTAAAAGAGAGATAGGAACCGAGGGAGGATCGGTCACGAATGGGAGCATTAGGAAGGAAGAGGGGGATAAGGAAGGGGGCGGTCGGACACAAAACCCGCACAATTGGAAAGTGATAAATCCAGGCAACACACAGATAAGAGGGCATTAATGGAATGCCACAACGTGCCCTTGTCGAGCTATAAGCAAGCATTCATATCCTGTGTCTCGTATCTGGCTTCGGGCCAATTTTCAAATTACCTGTCACCTATTTCCGCGTTGCACATGGTGATATATGGCCGGAGAGTGTCCTTTTGTTTCTGTCGTTGCTGTATGGTTCGGTGTTGTGCGCTATTCTATCCACTCCCTATTTTAATTTTTGTGCATAAACCGGATCGAAAGAAGATCCTACGAAATCTCCCCGTAACTCAATCGAAAGCTGCTTCACGCTTCGTTCGATTTTCTTAACAGTAATCCTAGCCATCTCTTACGTTCTTACGTTACGTTGCGTTTCGTGTTACGCACCCTCCTTTACCATAACAATGGCAGGAAGCGTCGTTCAAGAGGAAGCACACACACACATATATATATAGAGAGGTTTTTTTCCTTCTCCCTCGATAGCCTTTACTTCTTCCTTTATACTCCCTGAATGGATCAAATCACCTCAATACTATTTTATCCTCTTATCCTCTCTAACTGTTGTTACTGTCGTGGCAATCCGGTATTATAGCGCTATCCTTATAATTGTTCCGTTAGAAGCACTGGCAGTTTTAGTTGTATTCTCCACTATTACTTTAGCGGAAATTACGTCAGTAGTCGCTCTTAAAATTAATGGGATCCTGTTACTAAAATAGCATCCGAACTTGTTGCTGTAGTGGCACATTATGCAGTTTAATTCGCAGCGCTCTTTGGCATCTATCGGTAGTACACGGATCACGTCGAGCAGTTACTTGGAGCTCTAGTGTAATTACTCGTCAGGTATGTCACGTTAGACAAAGAGTCACCCAAGCTCGCGTGGTATTCGAGGATTACGTACGGATACGGAATCACGAAAACGTAAAACACGGTCCCGAATTCGGTTTCGGTCACGTGACGCCGATCCGTTAATTCTTCTCCCCCCAGTCCGAAAATTCGGGAAGCCCGTGGGAGATGGTATACAGTGGAGGTTCACAGTGATTCTTATGTCAGATGCATTGTGTAAGGGGACAAACAATAATTGTTGTAAGTGAGTGACTAATGACGGCCATTAGAGACTTTAATGAATAATTTGCAATGAATTTATTCATGACACACGTTGCTGACGTGATTAACAATCGTTACAGAGTTTCTACCGCTGCCGAAGACGGCTCCCTCCTAATGACTCGGGTTTTCAAGGATTGGATCTTCAGGAGGACGGCTCACCCTCCCTCTTTAGCCACCCGTTACGCCCTCCGTTCCCATTGTGTGCCACGGTAGCTGCACCTTGACACGAGACGGACACATCTCACGTCGCTCGAGTGACCCCCAAACAAAAGGAATCCTCTTTTTTTTTCCCTCCTGCCTGAAACTTCCATTGCATACCTTCAGACGTCTGTCAGATGGATAAAGATAGCGTTACCATGAGAATCTAGCGAGATAAGATAATCGTTACGTGTGATATGAATGCAGATTTATTCTGGAGCACGGATCATCTCGAAGACAAACTGATAAAAAGGATTGATTTTTTTTTTCCTCGAAATATTTTGCATCCAATCTTATCACGCACCAGATAAAATTAATCTGGAAAAAATAATGCTCCCATTATCTTCTCTTCGAAAACTGATTATCATCGTCATCAGAACTTAACCGGAGATAATTTTTTATATAAAACTTAACCGATATTATTATTATTTTTACCTTTTCCTGCAAAAGATCTTCTTACAAGAGGATTATCCCACGGATATAGAAACCATAAAACGATGTTGGAATGACGGAAAGAGATTTTTATTATCTCAAATAGTAAAGATAATACACTTTATGTGTAAGATAATAACAGTCTTTTAAATTGCTTCTTTTTTTTTCTCTTTCCTTTTTTTTTTTTCATTCTCCGGCACAGAGGAGGGGAGGCGATTGTAGAAAATCAATAAGAGGAAATAGTTTAAATAGAGTTTCCTTTCTAGATAATTTTAACTTGGATTTTTTCCCTAACTCTATTATCACTGATGCCTTTTTTTCTTGCATTCTGGAAAAAAAAATACAATAGTAAATATTCAATTTATATTTTTAAAAAATTCAATCTAATTTCCTCTTCTTCTTTGAAGTTTTCTAGAGTTTCCAAAATAATTTATTTTCCATTAATCGGATTTTTTACTTATTAATTTCTTGATATTCGGCAAGGAATTCTTATCGACTTGAGCGGAGTTCCTACGTATTTTCTTTTTCTTTTTTCTTTTATTAAATTGTCAAATGTCGTTTAGCACTCGAAGCGTCGTCTCGTGTGAAACACTCCGCCCAATTTTATGCCACGTTAAACATGGCACACTCGAAAACATATAACGTTTAGTGCAAGATTACCTTATCGAACCGTTCCCAGTTTGTAGTATCGATTCTTCATTTAGCTGGATCTATGAACTCCGCCCGAGCCAAGATAGTTTGCCATAACCCAGTTCCATTTTAATTTCTACTATGGTTTATCGTTAACCTCACCCAAATCGACCTTCTAGCTTTTAGTTAGAGTGCATAACGAGGCCCGAGCTCCACCCGATTTTCGTAGCCACTTCAATTACAAAACCCTTTAGCCGATTCATATCTATTAACTCCACCCAATTTAAGAACGTAGGAATCGTTTAAACCGGAAATTTTTCCGTTATAATTAAAGAACGACCGTTGAAACCGTTACATTTTGAACGAGCTCATCCGTTGTCATCACTTTCAAAAATCCTGTAATCGTTTCCAATTGGTTATTATTGAAGAAACCACGTGGTATTGATCAATAATAACGTCAAGTTAACGGCCATTTTAAGCTATTAAATTTAATGTTCTTCAAGCAATTCTTGGTTAAATAGGTGGTACCCCATTCTTACGAAAATCCCTGATAGAAAAGGGGTTAAAAACATTCTGGCTAGTATATTTATTATTTAATCAAGCTCCGCCCTTCTTTCACGATAGAGTAAACTCTCCCTTTATAGTAAACTCCATCCAAATTCCAGTTTCCGAACTGATAACTGTGTTTCGAGCACAGAAGAATATAGGATTCTGCAACCGAGATCCATTTTATCAGGCTTTACCAGGATAAAGGAACCGTCTTCTTCCTCCTAACATTGCCGAAATCGTACCTGGAAAACAGATAATCGCTAGAAATCGTCAGATAAAAACCCCTCCGTCCACAGTCGTCCCTCATAAAAATGGCTTTTAAACTTTTTTTTTCAGACCAATCATTTTATTGCAGTTTGGCCAAGTCGCTACAAAACGATCTTCAAAATAAAAATAAAAAAAAAAAAATGGAGGAAGAAAACTTCAATCGGTACAAAATAAATCATCTTTCTTTCCCTTTTATAAGTTCGCAAAACTTCTCTTTAAGATTTACTTTTATTCTTTTTGATAAAAATTGCTCCTGTCCTAAATTTTTTATGACCCTTCCAGTGTTACGTGCGACTAGGATATACGGAAAAATCACTATCGGATATTTCATTTCACGTTTTTCTCACCTAAACTCACCAAAAAAATATTATTATATAATTCGAGGGAGGAAGAGAGGGGGAAGATTTGAGTACAACAAACTGCTTCCAACTTTAACTAAGCTTTCAAACTAAAGTGCCTAAAGGTTTCGTCTTCCTCAACACAACTTGTTCTTGATTAAAGTACTTAATTATAAAACGTATTTAATGTTTAGTCGAGGCGGAAAATGATTATTGATTTTTATGAATACAATTTTTTTTTTGTGTGTGTGTGTGTGTCTCTCTCTGTGGCACTCCTGTTTCTTTAACGAGAAACTTTGAATTAATTTCGAGAAAAGGGATGTTTCTGTAGTATGCTCCTGAAAAATTCTGATTTATAAGAAGTGTTCCTACCTTACAATTAAGCTTTTGCTGGGAATTTTTAAAAAGAGGTCCGGGGTAAAAAAAACTCTGAAGCACTTAACGTCGAAGAATGGGTTTAACTGACTTGAATCACATTGCACATTACTGTAAATTTTATGATAAAAATCCATCCAGAAACTTCTCGATTTTATGTGATTCAAGGTGAATTGATGATCTTTTCAACGGGAAAAACGTTCCTTTTTTTGTAGTGTAAGCGAAAGAAAATCAAGCGAATCATATTTGAAGAAGATTTTTTTTTTTTTTTTATTTACACGAGTGTCTGGAGAACGAGCACGCTACTAAATAGATAATATCCTTATTGAAGATTCAAAACTGTATCTTTAATTCCGAACGGAAGATGTATTGCACAACCCTACCCTTGAAAAATACAACACAGGAATTAATTTAGTTTGTTTACAATTTAATAACACGTTGCTGAAGGAGGGGGAAATAAAAAATGATGAAGAAAAAGAATATTAGGAAGAGACCTTGACCCTAAATGCCGATCCATAATTTTCAAAATTAGAGTAAGAGGAGAAAAACCTTGACCACAAATCTCGTAGTTAGAGGATCGGAAACAAATGTCAACAGGCTTTAAAGGCTGTTACTCCGCAGCGAAATATCTAACAATTGCCGATTTGCATGGTAAATTCCGTTGCAAGATCAATGACGTTGGGGGATTGGCGGGACTACCATACAAATTCCATCCAATTTAAATTGCCATTACCACTTTAATAAATGGAGAAAATGAGGGCTAACAGAGTTGTTAAGTATCCATTTTTATCTCTTAACGATAGGGAATGCCTGCCTTAAAAATAGCAATTGTAGTATTTAATCCCTCAATTACGTCTCCCGATAGCTGTACAGTTTCATCCCTTTCCCTAACTCTTGTGTTGATTCAATGCAGACGGTTGGATAAACATTTAGATAAGAAATCTCCTTATCCGCCAAAGAATCTTATTTCTTCCACAATTTATTCTCTATGGTGTTAAAGAATCACTTTTATTAAATCCTCCAAGTCCCAACAGAGCGTAAGCCATTAATCCCCAGGCACTCGAACAATACTCAGAGAAGAAAAGGAGTAAAAAGAAAATAAAAAAAAAATGGATTTGCCACTATTTACTGTCGAAACTTGAAGCAAAAATCGGAAATTTTTGAAAGTGCATAGAAGTTGTGGATAGGTGGAATAGTAGCGCAACTGACTATCGATCCGGAGGCCCCCCAAACCCAGTGTTTAATCCCCTCTGGGGTACCACGCGACAGAGTTGTTTCCTCTGCGATATCGAACCACCTCCCCCCGCTTTGGAAGCGGTGGCCAAAACGAATTTTTACCATTAATAATAAAAAGATTAACGAGTCGAAATCCGGGTCGGTGGTGTGTGTGTGTGGGGGGTCGGCCTACGAAAGAGCCTCACTCGAATCGAATGTGAGAGGTTTCTTGTCATAAATCAATAAAAACACATTGGCTTCATAAAGACGCGTTGCCTTGGCAACGTCTCCGACCCTACCCAGTGTCCGTCTCCTGTGGATTATTCCATTGGGCCGGGGCTGAGTCACCTAAGTCCAGCGTGTTGGCGCCTGGGTTTCGATTTTTGGCCAAGGTACTACACGCTCCAATGATAATAGCCTCTCCGAAGGGAGTGGAGATGTGCCATTGATGCCCTCCTAATCGATGGCACAGGTAGTACCACCGGTTCTAATCTCCCACCATTCAGGAAAAAAAAATGTCCACCTGCCTCGGGTGTTGTTTGTTTGTTTGCGTTACTCGGCCGAGGGGGATGTCACCCGGCCTCACCCGCGTTACGCGCTAGTTGTGACGTAATTAACTAGGGACGTTCGTTTCCCCATGACGTCGCCTTCACGCTCTACAGAATGTGACGTCCGAGAAACAAAAGGCAAGGCTGTCGTCGAAAGAGGGAAGGAGGGGTTGGGAAAAATCGATAATTCCCTTCAAATTAGTGCACGACGGAGAGAGAAAGAGAGAAAGAGGGGGGAGAGCCACGGTGACGTCAACACCCCGCGTGGTTTATCCTTAAATATTTCTCTCGAACTGAATGACGTCTTACACGACCACCTTTCATCTTGTCATTCCCTGAGTGATTACACGATCCGGAGAAGATCCGGATATAACGATCGTTCCTGTTCCTCTTTTTTAAAATTTAGTTTTTTTTATTTTATTATAAATATATATATATTTTTTTACTTTTGAAATGGCTCGTCACTCGGAAAACTCGCTCGCAGCAGTGAAGAACCCCTGCAGCCTTTTTTATTATTATTATTTTTTATTTGGTTTGGAGCAATCGACGTTGCATAAACTGTAGCGTTAATCGCGTGTAAAGTCACGAAACATATTAATAACTGTATTCATGGAATGATAGCCGACGTTAGTGTCACATCAGCAAGAGATAATTTTGACATTTCTGAAAGATCAGCGCTTGCATCTGATGCGCTTTGGCGCTCTAACTCGTCGTTCTTTGCAAATTTCCACGCGCGAAAACCCGGCCCAGTATCCATTAAAAGGCATTAAAACCCGCTAAAATCGGTACGGAATTGGTTGAAATCTCTAGGGACCTACTATAATATCTCGCTAACTGGGAAAGTAAAGCTTTTAAATATTCCATTGCCCGTGTTTTAAAATGCCAAATTATGATTATTACAGCGTAGGTGTGCCTTTAATTTCCACTTTAATTTCAATCGAGCGTAATTATAGGTTCTTGGTTTTCCTCTTAAGAAGCATTTTGGCTACTTTAAACTGATAATTAGCGTCGTTCGAAATTCCGAAAAGTGAGAAAAATTTCCCTTTCGGGGCGTTAACATCACGAGAAATTCACGTTTTCCCATTATTGTCTCGCGTGGAAAAACGACACCACCTCACTGTGAGGTCGAGTGGACGTTTAGTTTTTATTGTAACGTCATCATAAATGTCTGTTTCTGATTATTATGACGTTTCTTATGTTTTTTTTTTAAGCAAAGGTTTATTGTATTACTGAAAAGCCTGGATTTTCTATTGTTACACTTCAAAAAGAAAAAAAAATCTGTAGAGATTTCGTTAATAAATCCCGAAAAAGCTTCATTTTTGCCATTGTTATGTCACATAATATTCATTATTACGTCACAAAAAGTGCGCTCTTTATTATTGCTTAAATAGAAAAACCAGATTTTTCTGTTATTATTACGTCACAGGAAATTTTATTTTTAGTTGTTACGTAACCCGTTCCCTGAAAAAACTCATTTACAATTAGTAAACACTTAAATAGCTTACTTTTGTATTATATACCTCACGAAAAAAAAGGCTCTAACATTGTTACGTCACGAATACTTTTATATTACTAAGTTGGGAGAAAGGACCGTGCATTATTACGTCACATAAAAGGCCTTTGTTTTTCTATATATATATATATTGTAACCCATCACAATAGAATAGAGGGTCGGTCGAACGCATTGAAAAATTCGCCGAACTGAAATGATCCATTAATGATGACGTAATGACCCGGCGGAGGTTACGTCACAAACGACGCCGGAAATTACGTCACGGGTGGACGGAATTTTATTTTAGCGGAGGGAGGAGAGAAAGAAAAAACCATTTCGTAAATTTTTTTTAGAAAAATAATCGAATATTTTTCGCTACAGTGACGTCATTTATATTCTATTCCTTCGATNATAATCGATACGTAATAAGCGGGATTACCTCACGTAGCGATTTAGGATGCCAGGCGTGAATATTTTAAGTCCTATGAATTTGTAAAGACGTGGCAAAGGAGCAATAAATTTTCTTAGGAGGGAGAGAAGGAAAAAAAAAAAAGGTTATCCAACGAAAGAAAATTAAATAAACACCTCTCGACACATTCTTCTATTTTAGCCATTAAATTTAATTATCTTCTATAAACAAATTACAAAAATTTATCAAGATATTTATTGTAAACTTTTCCTTAAAAAAAAAAATAAATAATAATAATAATAATAATGAAGAAAAGAAGAATTTCATAAAAATTACTTTTAAACAATAATAAATAAATTCTGCTAATTTACTGTCAAAAGCTATTTAAATTTGAAAAAATTAGCGTGACGTAACACCAACGTCACTCTTTTTAAAACTAAAAAGGGGAGGAAGGGGAGGGAGGGGGAAAACAATGCCGGAAATGACGTCGAACGTTCTTGGCAACATTTCAGGCATTTTTCTGTTTGCTAAAAAGCTAATTTATTAAAAACGAATTTTTACGCCATTATGCCCAAATAAAGGCATTTTGTACAAATGATAATTTCTTTTTTACTATTCCCAACACCCCCCCTTTTAATTATTTTCAATGACTAAATTTAATTAACGTCTTCTTTATACTAATGATGACGTTTACCATGCCGTCAATTTATTTATGCAAATGACTTTCTTACTTTCTTTTCCACCCCCCCTCTTAAATCCCCACGTGCAGTTCACGAACTTAGTAAGGAAAGACAATGTCCTGGTCAGCCATCTACAGTACAAAGTCAGCACGATGTTCGCACCCACCAACGACGCCATCGATAGAGCGAGGAAGTGGTCATCGAAGAACGACGACAAAATTGGATCTTATCACACAAGTGAGTAGTGTTTTTCTCATATAAAATTCCATATATCGCCGTGTAATCCACGCTGTACTAGATGTAGTAAATGGCCTGGAGCACTCCCTCCTGATCTACCCGGATAAAGGATAAAGCTCTCCCTGGTAACGCACCCGAAATAAGAAGCAGAGGATGGGAAATTAAAACGGGGTCAAAACGGCGTGCAAATTAATTTCCTTGGCTAAGATCCCTCCAAATAGCGAATCGATACTGTCTTTTAAGATGTAAATGAGATCTTACCACGGACTGTTGTCTTCTATTTTGAAAATCCCCGAGTTAACATCGTCCTAGATTATTAATTTATATTTATTAACAGCGTTAAATTAAGGATCCGCGTTGCCTTGGCAACGTCTCCGACCCTACCCAGTGTCCGTCTCCTGTGGATTATTCCATTGGGCCGGGGCTGAGTCACCTAAGTCCAGCGTGTNCCAAATAGCTAATCGATACTGTCTTTTAAGATGTAAATGAGATCTTACCACGGACTGTTGTCTTCTATTTTGAAAATCCCCGAGTTAACATCGTCCTAGATTATTAATTTATATTTATTAACAGCGTTAAATTAAGGATCTTGATGTAAATTTTATAGCGTACCAGAACCTTCATCAAGTTCTTTAACTCTCTTTTAACTAAAATTTCGTGACGCTTACTGTGTTTTGGTACTTTTAAACGCCCATTGCAAGCAAATAATTGAACCCTCCCTACTTGATTAGATTTACCAAGTGTTTAGGCCTTGTTTAGAACTTTAAATTATATTTTATCACGGTCTAAACCATTGATCAGGACCATTATCTGGATTTAATCGATTCCCAAAACTTTGCTTGAAATCATTAACCGGGAATCACAGTGTTCCCAATAGTTAATTGGTTGCCCCTCTTTTCTATCTAAAGTCTGGTGCTGCTCTTAATCTTTATCTGAACCTTTCAATTAAGGACTTCTAGAGATTTCTACTTACTCATGAGTTATATTTTTGTGAAAATCCTCCCAAATTAGGAAGTTTCTCACAGGAGAAATTGGAAAACGTCAATTGCAATTTTCAAAAGCTGCGTGATCCACTTACCAAACTTTTTTTTTTAAAGGAATTTCTAACTTTTCTAGCTTAATTTTGCTTATATTTTTAAGTGCACACACCTATAGTTAAATATTTTAAGTGGGAAGAACCAAAGATTGCTGTTTACGATTGCCTAAAACAACGTTATCCTTCTACCTTTCTACACAAAACCGCAGCAGGAGTGTAGGGTAAAGGATTCGGATTTAAATAAATCCATTCAGAATGAAGAAAATGTAGAAAAATCTTGCCGAAGAGAGTGGGGGGTGGGTGGGAAAATCTATTTTGTTCGATTGGCGTAAACGTTAGAATCGACTTATTAAAAATCCGATAGATTTCCTATCTGAGCATCGTTTGGACAAAGATAATCCAAGACTCTACTCGATCATCAACCTTCCCAAAAATAACGATCAGCATCATCTGATGTTACCATGGTAACAGATGGACACGGGGGAGATGGAAGTTTACGTCAAGATCAATCTGATATATGAAGTAATAGCGAACACCTTTGCCAAGAATATATCGACGTGTCGGCCCAGATTTTTTGGTTTATATGTCCAAATTAATTTCGTCCGTCGACTAATATCTTGGGATATTTCTTTTCGTCACCAAAACTTTGGGAAATTTCGTAAAATAATAAAAGAAGCTAATGTTATAATCGATACGTAATAAGCGGGATTACCTCACGTAGCGATTTAGGATGCCAGGCGTGAATATTTTAAGTCCTATGAATTTGTAAAGACGTGGCAAAGGAGCAATAAATTTTCTTAGGAGGGAGAGAAGGAAAAAAAAAAAAGGTGGTAAGCGTGAAGAAACACATTCACGTACAGAAGATAAGAACAGTTATATTTATATATTATCGCTTTATGTATTCTATACACTTGGAGTATATAAAAAACAATAATTCCAAGCTATCTACGCGTGTTTCCACTTCTAACAACGAGCGGATAATGCATCATTTATTATCCAAACGACTCGTAATAAGGAGGAATTTTGCCAAGACCCAACTCAAGTTTTATATCTTCCCTTCTTTGAGCCCATCGGAAGCGTGATGGGGGTCCTTGCCTCCACCAAGAAAGAAAAATTTGCTTTATATAAATGCCCACGTTGGCACCGTGCTTGCTTTTTTCTTTCTTTCTTTCTTTCTTATTTCTTCCGCTTCTTCCTTCTATACTTTCGCCATATCTCGTATCGGGAACGCATTTGCCCACTAAACTGTACCAAATTTTGCTTAAAATGTAAGAATTTCATGGTTTGCTGGACATCAAAGCTACTTTCTTTTTACATATACGCTGCACGAAAACATGCAGGAACGATACATTCGATAAACAGTCGAATGTAACTCCTTCCCCCTCCTAAAAAAAAAACATGGCGCCCATTCACAATAGGGAATGGCATTACAAGAAGTGGCTTTTTGGCCATTCCTTGAAAGATTTTTTTAACATTAATTTATTCTTCTCTTCTTTCTTCTTATTGCTTTATTTTTTTTTATTCCAGTAAACTCTCTAGTACCAAAAGAAGTCTTTGACAAAACTACAAATCCATCCTCTATGGTAGGAGGCCCACTTTTCTTATCAGTTCTGAAAACGGAAAAGGATTCTAAAGTAGAAACGGTAAGTGAAATCCCTAAAAAATATACTAAACCTTATTTATTACCCAGATTTATCAGATACGTAGCAGTCGATCCTTTAGAAATTAATTCCCGAAGATTACCATACTCCCCGGAAAATAAATTAATTTTTAATAAGTTCAGATTATAAATATAAATTCTTAGGAAAATTTTAACTTTTCTTATTACTTTTTTCATTAATCTTATCGGTAATTTAATTCGGATTTTTAAGAAGAAACCTTTTTTTTTTCTGAACGCCTCTTATATAATCCTGCAACGGCTCCTCCTCCTCCTCCTCCGTGGGTAATTCAGGAAGACCTGGAGCATTCAAACTTAATAATTGCATGGAATTTTTAAAGTTCTGTCCATAATACAACTCGCATTATCTAAGATTGGCCCGTGGAATGAATTGGGCGAGATAGTGAACCGAAGCCGCTTTGCTTTGGAGTAACAAAAATCGCGACGCACCATTGATCCATTACGAAGCACGCACTTTCACGAAGTTCGAAAAGTGCCATGCAAGCGATTTTCTCAGAAACGTCTACATTATAAAAGATTTCAGGTTAAAAACCTGGGCTACAGATTCCTTCTCTTGATCCTTACCACGCTATAGAACCGGTGCTTAAGCGAAGAGTAATGGAGCCTTTGTACTCTATCGGGTCACAAATCGAGCCAACGAAATGCATTTTTAATGTTTATTATGGAAAAAGGAGAGCATCAATCAGACTGACAGTTCCTAAACATCCGGAAAGTCTTCATCTTTTCCATACAATCATCCGAAGAGGACCACCCTTTCAACCAGATGAAAGTTAAGAGAAGATAATAAAATAACAATAATATATAAATACGCGCGCATTAAAATAAACCAATAGAGAAGATTTAAAAAAGTCGGAAGTAAAAGGGAAGGGATTTAATTCCGGATGAATTCGGAATGACGTCATTTCCGCGCGTTATTTACGGGTTAAGCTTTTTGCATGAAGAGAGAGAGAGAGAGAGAATATAAAGAAAAAGATTGCATTTTGAAAAATATGACAGCTTGTCGTTTGGCAACATGTGAAATCTCTTGGTCGTTTGTTGTTGACAGTTGATATACAGAACTACTCGGTTTGTTTTATTGATGATACTTTATCAAGGAAATTCCATCTATTCCGACCATTCGATACTGAAGAGAACAATTCAAATTGATTGTTTCGATAATAGATATTTTATTTAAATCGCTCCGGGACGTTTTCTAGACTTATTCCTCTATTCCCTCCCCCCTTTCTGTAACGTCGTTGATACGTAGAAAAATTTTACCTGTTTATTTATTTATTTTTTTTTTCTTCTACCACCTCGTCGATGTTTGGCGGTAATGCTCCACAGATACGACGCGTCACGAAATCGGAATTTCAGTACCGTTCCTCCCCGGATAAAAAAGAAAAAAAAAAAGGGAAGAGCAGTCGAAATTTGTGAGAATTAAATCCCTTTCTTCGCGTATAATCCGATAGCGCATTATACACTGTGTACGGAATTAATTTCTAATTTCTTTCCTTTATGTTCTTCGCGCCGAAATCCCGTGTTACAGAAATTCGAAATTAAAAACGTGGTCTTGGCTTTTCCGGAAGAATAAATCAAAACGTCAATTTTTCCCTCACCCCCCCTTTTTTCCGATTTCTTACTCGTCAATGACGTCAGCCAAACGCGCAATTCGAATCGGGGGGTGGAGTAGATTAGAATTAACTTCCCCTCCCCCGACTGTGTTAATGTTTAGAAAAGTTGCGTGAAATTTCATTAAGCCGTGTGTACTGTACGTACGGAGCGTTGCGAAACTCGTTAAAGGCAGTAAATTCGCTTTAATTTATGCTAATTAATGGCCGCTTCGCGTTTATCCGTAAGCCAGTTCGAAGCCATCGACATCATTAATATATTTCTTCACGTTTTATTTTACTTTTTCTCCAATGTACAAGTATCGGAACGATGGCTTTAAAAGGAAGAAGACGAAGAAGAAGAAGAGGAGGAGGAGGAAAAAAGGGAGCATCGTGCCGCGATTAATTAGCAATTAATTAATAAATACATCATTTAGGAATGTTTACTTCCGAGAAACCACTGTTTCCATCTCTCACTCTCACTCTCTCCTTCTCTCTTTCGCTACTTATTCCCACTGAGCAATTGCTTAATTACTCATCCCACACTAATTACAGTGAAGAAACCTTGACACGGCTAATCTACTTACTTTCTATAGGTTACTACGTATCAATGTGAGAGTTTCGACAGGGGTGGAAACAAAAAACAAAAAAAAATAAAATAAAATGGAACTTCCGGAATTCCTTTATTGTCTCCGAGGGATGTTTCTCTTAACTGTGATTGTAATCAGTAAAAGAGTATTTCGGGAAACGGCACTCCATTGCAATTTTTATTATGTTTGCAATTCGTGAACGGAAAGTTTATTTGTTTTCTTCTCTTTCCCATCCCCTCTGTTCTTTCTCTTTTCAGGAGTATTACGTCAACAATGCAAAGATCATCGAAGAGGTCTCTTTCAAAGATTCTAGCACGGGAGGGACGTGGCAGATCCTCTACATCATCGACGAGATGCTGGAACTGTATCTCGACAACACTAACACTCCCTCTTTGGATGCACTCAAGTTTATGGAACAACCCAACGCTTATGATATTGGGGAATCTGTCAGGTGAACATCCCTCACAAATCTACTCTGCTGTGTAGCCATGCAGTCTCGAAGAAGCGAAACGAAGGATTTTTACGTGTTACACGTGGGCATTATTATTGATTTGGTTCGTTGAACCTCTTTTACTCGGGAATCTTTATTTTTTTTTCTTTTGTGTGCCATAAACAAAACATTTTTTCGATCCGATGGGATGTTGCATTTGTTTTTATGGAAGTGTTCGGGAGTTTAACCCGTATTTTTACACGCAAACTATGATAATAGCGACGGGTGTGATGTAAATCAAGTTTTAAGACCCTTATCTCGGTTCTAAATTACATTTTACACATTTCTAATTATGTTAAAGTCACCCTCTGCTTTGTGATGACACCTTATCCAAAAACCTAATTTTCCAATTATTTAATTTAGATATTCCTGAATTAAGACAGTGAAGGATTTATATAGTCCTTCACTGTCTTAAGATGGTGAAGGATTCTGTAAAAATCCTTCACTATCTTAATTCAGTAGTTTTTTGAGGTAAACCATGATATAAATCAAATTTTTAAGACCCCTTTTCTTAGGTTCTAAATGAACTTTTTACATCCCTCTAATTAAATTAAACTCATTCATGATTCTGTTCTGTTTTTGCAATGAAATCTTACCCAAAAAATTCTATTATTTTCTGATTACTGAATACAAACATTCATAAAATTCACGCAGAACTCTTTCTAAGATTTAAGTAACCTGATAGATATCTACTTATCATATAATCAGCTAACTAGACCAACCCCCTCCAGTCTCCTCCTGCAATTTACATAACAAAAAATGAGAAAATTAAAATATCTAAAAAAAAAATCCCTCGCACCAAGTCCCCTACATCATTTTACATCTTTCTAATATGACGGCGGGTGTAAAAAACTGGCTTTGGATGCTTTATTTTTAAAAGAAACACGTACCGAGCCTACATCTCGGCCACGTTATCTATCAACATTAAGCCAAAGAAACATTAATTCTAAAATTATCATAAAGACAATTGACATAATTTAATGTCAAGACAGTTAATCATAACAAGATGCAGATGGTTCACTATCAACCATTCATCTTGGTGACAAAGTCAATGATGCACTCCCACCCTCCCTCAGGATAGGCTGTACATAATGAACTCTCCTTAATGCTGCTCCTTCCTACAGAAATTAATAACTCTTGGATTCTCTGGAGTCTTTGTTAAATTTTTACTCAATTGTGATGCGAAAAACTATTATGTGTGTGTGTGTGTGTGTGTGTGTGTGTTTTTCTTCCCTCCTCTATGGCTAATGCATTAATTTTAAAATAAGATGATTTCCTCCTTTCTAATCTCTTAATGCTGTTTTTAATAACTTCAAAATTTTTATCACAGAAGCATATTCTTACCTGAGAATGAACCGAACAATTTCCTTTCTTTTTTTTCAATTTCAAAGATAAATATTTTCCAGAGCTGCGGGCAAGAAAAGCCGAGATAATTATTATTTTTTAAACCGTGATAATCAATTAAAAAATCTACCTTTTGATATTTCTAGAGGACGGCCTTCATTTCCTCCACTAGTCGAGAGAAATTCTTCGATAACAAAGCTAATTTCCCACTCGAAAAAACAGCGAGCGGCTTATGTAAATGATCGGAAATTGTTACGGCTAATAAGCGCTTCGAGACTCGCATCCCCGTCCTCTCGCATCGGCAGTTTACCTCTATCAAAAAATATGATTGTTTTGATCCATTGCAAAGATATTGATTTTTCTCTTTATCTTCCCGTAGCATGTTTTTATCTCGTGTCAAAACAGAGAAACAGGAAGGAATTTTCCGCCAAGACGGAAGAAATACTTACTTCATTCCGATAGATGTATCAGAAAGTTACGGATCCAACATGGAGAGGCTGAAAAAAATGGATTTGGCAGTAATGTTGTTTTTTTCCTTTTCTCTTTCTCTTCTCTTATTTTAATTTTTCTTTTATTGTATAATTATCTTGATGAGAAAAGTAAGAAGTATTAAATATTCTCTTTCATTTCTTTTTAAATTTCTTTATGAAATGATAACTTTGATAAATTCTTTCTTTATTTATTTTTTCCCCTCCTTCTCCTCTTCTTTTCTTTTGTTCAAAGATATTTTTTGATCCTTCAATTTAATTTTAAACTTTTTGTAGGTAGTAAAGAGCTTATACAACAGTTTTTTTTTAGTGCAATAAATGTAAAAGTGACTTTACACTTTTGATCTTACCATTTTAATAAAATTTAAGTAGAAAGTTGAGGATGTTTTAGAAGAAAGTATGCTGGCTGACAAACTGCTAGTCTCTTCTTAAAATATCATCCACTCTCTGACTGAATGTAATAGAATTTAAAAAGTGGAATGTGTGTATATTTATAAAGAAAATATCACTCCTATCATACCACACATAAAAAATATTTCTGCCAGATATTAAATTATTAAATTGCTTCTTATTTATATCACTTTTTACAGTTTACTTTACAAAATAACATTAAATGGACCCGCAGACTTCTTAAATTGTTAATGCAAATTGCTTCTCGGATTCCAAGCTCCGAGGAAGACCGTCCGGCGGGTCGTTTGTTGCCAAAATAAAATTGAACGGGAGCTTAAGAGTAAAAAAATGAAACCTGATCCAAATTCTTGTCTTTTTTTTAAAGGTCATCAGGGGTCACATTGTTCCGGGGATGGCTCTCTTTACGAGAACCGTGGGTAAGAAGGCATACCTTTCCGAGACCCGCACTCAAGTTTTGAAAGTGCAGCTGTCCATAGTAAATCAGTCTGATCCTCATGGCGATGGATATATATGTAAGTTGAATTATCACTTTTCCTTTTTTTAAATTTTAAGATTCATTCTTAATTCTTTCAATACTGAAAGTATTGGACCATTTCTGGCTTCCATCAGAGTATTCTACTTACTATCTACTTCATCTACAGTGACCAAAAAAAAAAAATAAAAAACTGAAATGATGCTGATATCAGAGAGGAAATTGAATTGTGAACACCTGGATAATGTTCTCACTTTAATATCAGCTGGCATTGGTATATTAGCGGGTTATGAAATGTACAAAACAATCAACATTACCGTGCTTTTTCGAGATCCCGATCAATCTAATGAGTCTCCGCCGCAGAAATCAGAGTTCGGAAATGCCATTCCACGCTTCTTTCCCCTAAATTATTAAAGCCGTTCGTGCTTTTCCACGGGAGGAATGCTTTTATCTTAATTATTCCTCAATAAATAACCACGGCACTGTTACCGCAAAGACACGCCGGCAATTTGTATACATGCAAAACATGACTTTGGGCTTTTAATATGTTAATTTTTATAAATTTCTTAATTAAATGAAGGATATTACCACAATACTTAAGAGATCAAATTCATATGCTAATATATTTTGCTCCAGGCTTTCCTGAACTTTCTTACAAATCAGTTAATAATTTCAAGATGGAAGAGTATTCTGTAACTTTAAAGTTGTAACCTCTTCTACTAATTTGCTGTTTTTACAGCTTTAAAACCAGAAAATAAATTAATATTTACTGATTGAATCAGATCAATGAAAAGAGAACAATAATTCTTCATTAATAAATAAATAAATTATTAAAAACAACTTTTTGTGTTGAATATATGATGAAGTATTGATCCAGATAGGTCCAATATTTCATTAATAATTTAATAAAACATTGCTTGTTCGCCAGGCATGTATCCTAACAGGAAAAAAAATATGGGTTCACTCAAGATTCAATAGAGGAAGACATATTTTCCTGTTGCGTACATGAGGAAGGAATCAATATTAAATCTCCTATTAATAAATTAGTAGATTATCAGAAGTAATAAAGAGCTTTTCTGTAAATTATTAATAAAAAATTGTGTTTTTCTCCATTGAATCTTTATATTTTATGTTGTAGTACACGCCGAGAGTAATGTCGTGCATAACCATCTGAAGCAGAGCAACATGAAAGGTCTGGTACTATCAAAAATCATCAGGCCAAACATTCCGGTATCGAATGGAGTAGTTCATTTGATCGAAACTCCATTGCTGATCGTGGATAAGACGATTTGGGAATTCATCCAGAGAGATGCACTGTTAATGTAAGTATAACACGTTACATTATAGCAATTGCCATCAGAATTTCGCTAGCCGATTGCCTTTAACTCGCCGGTCACGCGTACAAACGTGATACGATTTCCCACACACTTAAAATTTAGGCCTAACAAGTAAATGGTGTCGAAAACTCAATTTTCTCGTGGCAAACGGTTGATATTAATGACGTAAAGATTACTCAGATGACGTTAAATAACTTTGACAACGTATCATTCTTTTTCCTTTGATGTACGTCGGAGAAAATCGTTATTTTTCTCTTCTTTATCGCGGTAACATCATGGCCGCCGGGTACTAAACAGAGGGCGCTTTTTATTACCCTTCCGATCGTAAAATTTACTATTTTCATAAATAACAAAAGAAGAAGAAGAAGAGAGAAAAAAAGGGGGAAGAGAATGATATAAAATTTCGTAACGAGTTAATAATTTGTTTTAGTTTTGTGTGACGCGTGTGTTTACGTTTAACAGAAAATGATGCGTGACGTCACGTTCACCTTTCAGGGAATTCCACAAACTGATGATCAATGCACCGAAATTTACCGAATTGTTGACGCACACGCAAGAGAAAACGCTTTTTGTACCGTCGAACAAGGCGCTGAGGCAACTTTCCGAAGAGAAATTCGAGAAGATCAGAACCAACAGCACCATCCTCACTAACGTAAGTACTTTCCTCTGAACATTTTAATACCAGCCGCCGGGGATGACAAATACTCGATATTGCCCATTTTAAGAGCCGAAAATACTACCTTACGACGCTCTTCTTACTAAAATTTCCTTAATCGGCACTTAAAATGTGGAGAAAAATCTATTAAACAGTAGAAATTTTCATATAGTGTCAATAAAACTTCTCCTGTTTACGTAATAAACCGAGATAAATCATCATCATCATCATCGTTTGCTATTATTGGAAATTAATATGGACCAAATCTATGTTTGTATATGTTATTTCATTTTTGAATTTATCATCATCATCATCATCATAAATTTAATAATTCTCCATTTTTTTTTTTTTAATATTCGGAAACATAAGCCCGTAACTGCGACTTATGCATCCATATCTTTAGTTGCAGTTGCAGAATTCATATCACTGTTTTATGTATATCGGATAACTCACATGATTCCGGATTTGTGTTCCGTCGTGAACGCATCAAAGGGATTTAGCAGTGACACCTTTTTTTCTTCCTTTCTTCTCCTTCCAGTTACTAAATCTACACCTAGTGATGAAAGCCATTTCGATAGAGGACATTGTATCAGGCTCCATACCAAACGAGTTCATTTCTTCGGATCTCAACCGAAATTTATACTTTAAGGTGGTGGAACAGGACGAGACACAGGGTACAATTGAGACCATATCTATAAATTTTATACACGTGCCCCTATAATGATAATAATACTACATAAATTATATGTTTTTTTTTTGGCAGTTTTAACGGTAGAAGGTGGAGGAGTCAATGCCACTGCAGAGATAGCGAACATCAGAGCTACAGACGGGGTGATCCATATCATAGACAGGATTTTGGGGATGCCCTTTCAGACCGTCTACGAAAAACTCAAGAATGATCCGTCTCTAAGGTAATCCTCCTTCTTAATTCCGCTTCATCTATTAACGATTACTTTAATTTCTTCAGAGGATCTACAGTTTAAGACTTGAAAAAAATTGTTAAACGCTTTCCGATACAGTTTATTGTCGTATATTTTTTTTCTAGAGGCGCAAAAAAACCGCCTCACTCGAGATAAGAAGGAAACCATTAAAAAAATATAACTGGAAAACTTTTTTTTATAAAAAAAACAGGACCACGTACGAATTTAGCCAGCAAGATTCGTGGAACGAACAATTACACGACGAAAATATGAGATTTACATTTTTTGCACCGAACGAAGAAGCGTGGGAGAAACTTAAATCCGAATATCCTAGTTCCTTTAAGAAGATTCAAATCGGAATTGTACCTCTTCATTTGAAAACCGTAAGCGTAAAAATTATTATTATTATTTTTAAATTTTGGCTACAATTTGGCTATCGATAAAATTGACGAGTCGAAATATGGCATCGACGAATGACGTTATATATATGGCGATCGATAATTGGCTACTGACCTAATTACCGTATCTCTGCGATGAAAACATAGTAACGTTTAAATTTTGCTTACAAATGGATTTCGTTTTCGCTTGGAAGGATTTTAAATTTAAATATTAACGAATAATTTAATAAATATTTGAAGTGGAGCCAACGTAATTACGTTATTGAATTGTGGAAGAAGAAAAAAAATGCGTTTCTTAATACGGCGTATGAATATGCAAGAAACGGGAGCATCTCCGGCCCCAATTTTAGACCCCATTTTTTTTTTTTTTTACGGTTCCGAGAGAGGCACGAGCGACCCGAAAAGCGCTCTTCCGACGTCGCCGGTTAAAAATCGAAAATTTAAATTAGTTCCGTGCCAGCTAATTTATTTCCATGTTTAAAATTAATTTTTACTTGTAGAAAAATAGATGCTATCGATACCCGAGTGGCTTATCTGTTAGTTTATTAGACACGAGAGATTATTATTATTAACAATAAAAAGAGTTTCTGCGATCGATGAAAAGTCAAAATAATAAATGGCATTTTTCTTTTTTTATTTTTTAAATATTTTTGTACCGTTTAAAGTCGAAAGGTGGCGCCACTTTAGAGAGAGAGACAAGCGTTGCTGCCCATTACGTGCTGCCACCTGGCGTGTCGAAATAAAAAGAAACCGTCGTTCTCGTCCTTGGACGAGTTAACAATAGACGCTCATGAATATTCAGGTGTGTTAAATGTACACACAAATCAAATTAAGCTGGAACAAATATTTTCACATCTACACGATTCGAACAATTATATAAATCACTAATTAAACAACTATTAAAAGTTCCCTTGGGAGTTTAGGTATTTAGCTGTTTGAACATCCAAACACCGATGATTACAATTACAACTTATTCTGTAATTAGTCTAGAAACAAGATGGCCGACCAGTTCCGATTTCGATATCAATAACCTTTATAATTGTGTGTGTTTTTGTAACCTGTTGGTAACTTGATAGTGCGGTAAGAATATTTTTTTGGCCAACTGGCTGATGGCTATCTTTTGATTCGAAATAACCCCTGTAACCGTCCATTAGTTACTTGTACTATAATTCGTGGACCCTTTGACATTGAAGGAATGACTTTAGTGGCATAAGTTCTAACTGATGGCCTAGTTTATGTGCATGTAGACAATGCATCAATCCCCCTTAAACTGACAAGCAATGGGTGGCCCAAGAAGAAAGCAAATTAATTTTTTGGACTTTAGTTTAGTTAAATATACTTGCAAATTATCGTGGCACCATTTCCGGAAGGTATGAACAAAAAGTTCTTTCGTGCATTCTGTCTTAGAAAAAACTTTTGAGGCTCCTCTAAGAGCATTCCACACATGCTTACGATTTCTTCGATTTGGTGATCCAGTGTACATCCAGTTAAGCACGGTAATCTTTTCTAATCTGTCGCGAATTTTGCCAACAGATCGAGTGGGCTTGATTGAATTAACTGACTAAAATGAAATTAAATGACTCTTGTTTCTGATAAGTTCCAAAACGACATCTGGGACCTGTCGAACGTTGCCGTCTTTTTGTTTTTGGAGTGGTCGAGATGATAAACTTGACGACGGATTTTCCGTGCCGTTAATGTTACAAGTAAACACGTTCGAGTTGGACTTGGACTTGCATTAAAAAAACTATATGGAATATAGAGTTAGCATGCTAAAACCATAAATTCAAATTATATAATTGTGCATAACATTTAATTAATGGTGTCTTAATTAGATAAATTATACCTAGCCATCTCGTAAATTTTGTTCGGTAAAACCGTTTCTCTGTGAAAGCACTGTCCCTGCGGATGCAGATCGTCACAGAGTTTGATGGTATATGATGTGCTATGTATCATGATGAGAATGCAGAGAGAACCGTACGTTTTGTTGCCCTGCTCTGCCATTGCACCTCCAATTATGGGCAGATCGGAGTTTGTGGTATTTCTCGCGAGTGTGGTGGTTTAATATGGAAGCAGAGATGAGGATGAATGGAGGGATAAATGTTATGCGATGTAATGGTTTGCATTTTGTACAATAATGTTTGTTCTGTGTATAGTATGCCATTGTAATATTTTATATAGAACTTATTGGGTAACTAGTATGAAGAAAATTGAAGCTAAAATCCAATAATTAGCATTATTATATTTCAGCCATGAAGTCAAATTATTTGGGTAACTCTAATGATATACCTAATGGTAATAAAATTATTCTGGACCAATCAAAATATATCTCGCCTCTCCTGAAACAGTAATGCAACAAATCTCTGCCACATTTTATTTGATAAGTATTGTGTTGCGAGTTAGGAATTAACCAGTTTTCAATATATTCTTTGTAGATATTGAACCGTCACTTACTTGTGGGAAAAGAATTGTCCATTCAACATCTCGAAATGCATGATGAGATCCATATGCAAGAAGGAATCTTCAAAATCTCCAAAGGTTATGGCTATGGTAAGCGACGAAATAAATTTTTAATTTTGCGTGTTGTCTGCAGCGACTGATTCGTTTGCATTCTCTCCCTCCGTAGTTCAAGTGAAGTGGGAAGGCGAATTGGCACACATCATGCGGCCGGGCGTCCAGGCCACCAATGGAGTAATTCACGTCATAGATCAAGTGATGATGAAGCCGCGCGATCTGTCGACAGTAAGCTCCGCCCTCGCCGTCCGACAGGCCGTGGCCCTGGTGTCGACGTGTTGTCTGATGCTGTTGGTATTTTAAGGTGGCCGAAACATGCATTCCCGTCTGCGTGAGGAAAACTGCCAATCCCGAGTGAAGAACTCCTAAAAAAAGAATTTTTTTGCATCACACAAAATGTCTGCCGGCAGCGGCGACCAGTTCGTCGTTGCCAAAATATTGGCGTGGTGGGTCCAGTATCGCTATAATTAGTTATGAGATCAATTCTCAAATGTGCACAAAATTTAGAAATTTGATGTTTTTTGATCGGAAGTCGTTTATTTCTTCTCCCAAAGACGTGCGGCGCGGAGGGGAACGGGTACTTTTTCTTTTATTCCTCAGAAGAATGTTTGTACACTAGGTTTAGTTTTGAAAAGAACAGGAACAATTCCTATTGACAGCCAAGCTGACCAGCTTTCCCAGTTTTATGAAAATTGCTTTTGAATTGTCAGAAGTCATTTGCTTGTATGTTTAATGATGTATTTAAAACAACAACAACCACAAGTGTTTGATGTTTACTGTTGAAGGTCACAAAAAAAATAAATAAAAGAACCAATTTCGCTTCCTTCTCTTCATTCCATTCACCACAACTTAGCTTGTGATCGATATTAACGCCTCTGCAATCCATGCGAAAACGTCACGGCACTCGCGGTGCATCTTGCTATTTTGAAGTCGTACACTGTCTGTCACACCAACACAAAAATAGCAATAAAAGGGTAAGTTTTAAAACAACTGTAGTATTTTGGTTCGGCGAATGATCGGACCCGAGCGGTCTCACCACACTGCCTAGCGTGAATGGAATTCGGGAGAGAAGGAATCACTTGTGAAAACATTGTATTAAAAACAACACCCTATCTAGGGTCAAATGGTGTAGGATCTGTATTCTGATTGTATATGTTAATAAAGTGCACATTGTGCAATGTAATTTTATATCCTGGAGTACTCAATTGATTCATGCATGATTATTTATATAGTCTTATGACTAACCATGTAAACTGATCAGTCTACCATATTTCTAAATGATCCTTGTATGCAAAACAGTTACAGATTATACTGCTTTTAGAAATTTAAAAATAAGTTGCCAACATTTTCTGCTAAACTGCATAACCAAATTATTTCAATTGACAGAAGTGCATCCCCTCAAATACAATTCAGCAATAAACAGACTTCTTGTTACTGAATTGAAATTTATTTATCCAAAAGAATTTTCTGAACAAAACCAATATTGCACATTGCATATATTTTCTCTGCCGGGATTGTGGTCTCCCCTTCCTCTTGTTTCTTTTAAGTATAATATTTGTTCGTTCAAACAGTGTCTGTCTGGACGACAAAGATAAATTATGACGGACAAAAATTTTACCACAGAATTTGAATGATCACTTTATTAAACATTGGGCATTGATGAGAGGAAGACTTAAAAAGAACAAAAAAAAAAAATTAAAAAAAAAAGATATCGAAAAAGTCACTCTGAATTAGATGCATAACTTCATTACGTCCAATGTTTATGGGTATGGCAATCAAATTTTGGAAAGAACCGTTCATTTACTTATTAAAATGTCAAGCACCGTGTGACTTCATTGCTGTTAGCCAATGTCAGAGAGATGCTGATAATAAATAATCGAAGAATTAACTGTCCAACTCGTCACGTTTAAAATATCCATTTGTCGGAATCACACGATCATCAGTTTTTAGATCTTTTTTTTTTTTTTTTTTAAATTCACCATCAAATAACAAATCAGAATATTGTCAAGTTGAATGAAAAATGTTTTGTACTTAAAAAATTTATAGGTACTGCTGGAAAAAACTCAATAGCTTAGTGTCGTAGTGTTCACTGGCATCCAAATGGCGCAGACTGTGCCTCTCAGTAGGATACACCTGTCAAACCAAATTTTAAGTATCTTCATTGTTTAATCCATTATTAGAAAAGATTTTATCATTACCTGTAACTGATATGGTTTTCCCGCTTTGATCATGGCATTGATGAGCTGACTTGTATGAGAAAAGTGAACGTTTTCATCCATTAAACCGTGAATGATTAGGAGTCTGTTCTCGCTATAAAAAAAGAAAGAAAAGCACATGAATTAAAATTCAGAAAGCATGCAAATTGACAGAATAAAAACTCACTTGTTTGGCAGTTGACTGACGTATGAAAGCACCGAACCGTTCGAGTAACCTTCAGGATTATTTGTGGGAGTGTCCATGTAGCGTTCAGTGTAACCCGTATCATAGAGATTCCAAGATGTGACCGGAGCTCCTGCCACAGCAATCTAAAAACATCAAATAGACTTATACCTTCTATTAAAACACTAATTGAAAAACATTAAATTTAAATAATACTACCTTGAAGATATCTGGTCTCTGTGCCAAACCCATTAGTGATAAATAACCACCTATGACAAGTAAAACTGCAGATAAGAAAATCGCATGGAAAAATGTGTACCACAGTATCTAAAAGCTTACCATAAGACCAACCGTGAATGGCTACCCGGTCCAAATCAATGTAATTTGTAGTTTCTGCCAGTTTTAACAACACTTCCACTTGGTCTGCAATCTCCACAGTTCCCTAAATAAAGAAACAAAGCACATTTAGCACAAAGATATTGAATAACAGCTAATTACAGCGAATAATCCAAATGCTAAAACATTATTCTTTGATATTGCAAAATGATTCTTTCCATTTATCTAGAACTCTTAGCAATCAATTATGCAACTATATTCATGAAATGAACAGTGTTCAGCCATACACATTTATGTAACACTTGAAGAATGCTCATTTCATGAGCAGAGTTGTGAGAACCTGGAGTAAAAAAAATTCAGTAAAATATCTCCCCAAGTTAATTTTTTAATTTTTCCATCAACTTGAATTGAAATAATATTTATCAGTGACTTCCTCTGACTGAGGGAGAAGGATATTTACTTCCTCCAAAAATGATAGGTGTTTTAGAGCAGTGAACCACCTGAACTTCTCCATACAGTTGCCTGGATTCCTTCTCTCAACAAAAGTATGGCGTCAGGTTCAAATAATCTTATTGGATGGCAACTCCATATAAAAGGGCAAAGATCACCATTAGACATTGCTCTTGGCATAGCTTTAACCCAAAATGAGCCGTATTCCTGGTTTGGCATCCTCACTGAGTGACCAACGGATAAATAGTCTGTTTCATTGTGCCTGGTTCTCGCAAAATGGAAGCAATAGTCAACGTTCACAATACAAGATACTCAAGGTAAAATGATAAATTGTATATATAAACTCTTTCAGTAAAATTATAGATTGCAGGTTGATATTCTTATCTAATTAGTTTGTCGAATTTATCCTAATATTAATTTTAGTAATTCATTCATTATGATAATCTCATATAATAAATATAGTTTTATATTTTAAACTGTCTAAGTAGTGCCTAACTCCATTGTTGGTTCATGTTAACGTGACTTGAAAGAAACCCTTGTAAGTTCCAGTTAAAGATTCAATTAAAATCTTATCCCAATTGGAAGATAAAACAAAATTTAACTTATCTTAGTTCACAAATATAAATAAGTAGTGTTGAGAACTGACAAAAAAGGAAGACCTTGACGATCTTTCCTAAACCATAATAATAATTTACCATCCTGATAGTGAGTGGGGTTAGACCAGAACAAACCCACCACTTCAAAATTAGTGTTGTCAGAATGGGGTTCAACATACCCCGAATTCACACCCTTATCTACATTATAAATTTAAATTTCCAAAACAGAACACTGAACTTTTAATTAGTTAACATTTATTGGATATGCTTAAACAAGTGTTCTACAGGGCTACATACTGAATCTATTTTATAGTTTAGAAATCTGTCACATAAGGGATCTGCACCAAGATGGCCAACAAAAAATACTGGGTGAGCACAGAGATGGAAATTATTCTAGTTGCCTGTAATTTATTTCATAAAACACAACTTAAAATATCTCTAAACTGTTCAATTTTAATTTATGCCCACACTTGTATCCTTCTGCATGTCCACTGCCACAACTGTAACCTATTGGCAAGTTTTCAAACTGTTTCACGCAATGCTGACTTGGGATGCAAAGGATTTCATTCCAAATTCTCTCTCTCAACTCCTCAAAGTTGGTTGGTTCAGTGACATACATTTGCATCTTAAGTGCCTCTTATGATTTAAAATTTAGTGGAGTCGTGTTGGATGACCTTACCGACTATCAAAAGATGTGGAAAGGGTGCTAACTTTTAGAGCATGGATGATCAGAATTTTTATAATTTATTGTACAAAACATATATACATACAGATTTGCAGATTTCCTAGTTCCAAACTGCTTTCTGCTGGAATTGTTTTGGACTTATGTTGAATGCTTCACAAACCCTTTCTACAGCTTTTGTTTGAAACTGTTGATGACCAGGGAGATGATACTGAAGGCAACAACTGTTATTGTGAAAAGGTAATGTCAATGATCACTTCTAACAAACAAATTGCCTATAGTGATACTCAACTTTAACCTGTCCTGTGTTATTCCAGACAAATCTCAGGGTTGTGACTTCTGACCTCAACCAGTTGACCGGAGATATCTTGTTTCAGCATTTTTGAAACTAGATGTTGCTAGTCGCTATAATTTTTTTGATTATTACATTTGTTAATATATTTTGAAAGTTAGTTTTAATATAAAAATTAATATCTATTTTGTTTGTGCAAAATAAAAAAATAATTTCAGATGATACAATAGCCACAATTATTCTTTTCAAAAACGTGTAATTTTCGTTAGGCTCAACAGACAGAACTTTGAACATTGGATAGGTTAACATTCTCCTCAGGTTTGTACACAGTTGTTCATCTTGAGATGAACAGACAAATCACAACCTGTGTGCATCCTGATAGTGGAAATTGACCAACTGACAATGAGAATCATTTTCTTCCCATTTTGATCACATGATATTAGCACCATGTGGAGTCAGCAGGTAACCTTAAGTGGGATTTCATTTATTGTTTTTATAAATTGATTTTTATTCTCCGTGTCAGGAAAATTATAAGTTGTAAAACTTCTACAGTGCAATACCAAATAATGGTAGGCTCCATGAGTGCACACAAGAAACTTTTACAGATAAGCTGTTCATATATTTCACTATTACCTATAATTTAATAATTATAAAGAAATGCTAGCTCTTCATAATTGCAAATAAGAGACATATTTGAATTTATAACACCATTAATTGTTGTGATGACTAATTTTAACAATGGGTAGAGATAAGTCCTAAACCACCTTTGAGTTTGGTCAAATCAGGGCCATCCATCAGTCTGGAAGTTCTGCTAGAGCTATTACAAATTCCCTTTTCCAGATGGTAAAAATCAATAAAAAAAATCTAGTGTATAAACATAGAAAAGCAACACCATACCTAAAACAACAACAACAAAAATGACTGATATGGACCAAAGATAAAATTTCGTGGACTTCAAAATGGTGTAATTTACTTGTACTGATAAGAAAAAGATCAATTTGGATGGTCCCAAAGGTTGGCAATTTTATTAGCATGATCTTAGAAGATAGGAGTTTTTGTTTGTCAAACATCAGCAAGGAGGGGCTCAGTCATGATATGGGCAGGTTTTGGATGGTCTGAAAAATTAACTTAGCATTCATAAATGGCTGAACAAAGGCAGTTGGGTATCAAAACCTCTTATATCTTGTGACATTTGGAAAGAAAATTGGTGGTCTATACTGGCAATTGCAACGAGATAATGCACGAAGCAAATTTCATTTATCAGTGGTTACTGGATAATGGCATTCAGGATCATGGAGTGGCTTCTTATTCCCATGATTAGAACCCATAGAAAATATATGAAATTTAATAGCTACAGATATGTATGCAGGAAGAAAGCAATACCGCAGTAACTCAAAGCTGCAATAGTTAGTGTGTAGGAAAAAATCGATTTAAATATGCTGCAAAATCTGGTTAACTCTAGGAATGATAAGGTTATTTTGAAAAATGATGGTTTCACTGGCTATTAAATGCCACTGGCCTTATATTTTTGCAACACCATTATTTTTGATTGTAAATAGAATAAGTAATTCTTTTACATCTATATTTATTCATGTTGCTAATTTTTTTGTTTAATTGTAATAAAAATTTATTATTTCAAACAATTGGGATGGCCTTATATTTTTGCAACACACCTTATATTTGATAGTCGTTTAGACTCAAAAGGTAGCTTGCACCAACCTTTTAGTAAACAAGTAGTCAACAAAAGTGTCATTCGTAATGAGAATGCAACAAGGTTTAGTATCACGTTTCATTTAAAATGATGTCATAACATACTCATTTTGTTTAATGACACTGCTCTGTATCATCCCTCCAGGGCTGTAACATTTAACTGTTTCATCAAAATTTTCATCCAATTCAGCAATGTTTTCCCTGTAAGCAGTTCTTGTTGGCATCTCTTCTGAAATTTCAAGAAAAAGTTCAAGGCAATTAAAATCACTTCCATCTTTTGTGTTCACTCAGTATGATACTTAAATATAAATTTCTGTTAATGCTTATGAAAGGCCATAAGTGTCAAAGAAGGATCTATTAAATAGTGTTTGGTTGGAAGTGCTTAAAAATTTGCAAAATATTGAAAACCACAATAAAATTCTTGTAACTACGTGACTAATCAGGTTTTTAACTACAAAAAAGGTTTTAAAATGGTCTGAAAGAAAAAAAACAGAGAGAAAGAGAATAAGTCTGATTTTTACAAATGAAAATGGTATCAAACATCACAAAGGTTTGACACTACTTTTGATTTACATTGATTATTTTCTATTAATATTTGTTACGACCCCGCTGTTAAGCGGGACTAAGGCCAAAGAAGAAGATTTTCTATTAATATTTGTAACAACTAAATAAGAGATTTAAGATTTATTGTGGCTTGATTTCAATATGAAGTATGCATTCAATATTGAGTATTTATGTAATTTTGCTATGGTATACACTTTTGTTATTTTACATTTAATGATAATGAAATGAAACATCATTTTGTTTTTATTTAAAAATTCTCTAAATTAATTCTTTTATATGTAAAATCATATTTTCTAAAATTATTTTGTAGTAATAAAATATGTATAACTTGCCATGCGCCCTTTTATGTGACTTTCGAAGATGATTCCCCGATTTCTCGAACCTCTGCAGTCGGCCGCTACCACTATGTATCCTTCTTGGGCTAACAGATGCTGTCTCAAATGCCTGATAAAGATAGGCTTGCATGATCATTTCAATTGCAAACAAGAAAAAGCATTTATTTGTAAATTACCACCCGTTGATTTATAACTACAAATATTACCTCATGCCCTTATATGTATTAGTAACTAATTGTACTTCCGGACCACCATAGATAGTTAGAACGGTCGGATATTTCTTATTGCTCTGCATAAATGGCGGTTTGAATATCATACCGTATATTGTTTGACCCGACTTGAGCGAGTGACTGAAGAGTTCGGGCTGCAGATATTCAAATTCCGATAATGAAATGGCTATGAAAAGATAAGTGTCGTCAGCTTAAATATAATATCCAACGCAAACATATATTTTAATGATCAAGTTTTACGTTACAATTATACTTACAAGGTGGTTCTAAGAGATAGCCTAGAGATTGGGCTGTTATATTAAAGGGTTTTGACCCATTCTGTACCAACCGATATACTTCTCCAAATGGACCATGATTTATATTACTCTGTATACTGACAAACAGGGAACAATCCTATAAAATGTAAATATATTTATTGTATTTTAATAAATTTAGTTATCATAAATATTGTTCTATATAAAACTACATTTAATTTAATATTTAATTAAAAAAACTTTCTTTCAATTACTTCAATCCTTAAATATCTGATAGATAATGCAGCATTGTTAGATAAAATTTTCAATTGCAGCTTATCTCAAATTTGTAGTGAAATGTATAAATCTAGAGTGAAATATTTATTTAACTTAAAAATGTACAGAAATAATTCCAGAAATTTTTGGAATTATTCTAGACCACTCTGATGAAATTTGAAAGTGTCATACAACAGATGGCATTTATAAGTTTCTTGTAGTGTATGTAAATGAAGGACATTGAGAGATACAATCGTAAATGAAAAGATATTGTGTGCGCCAAAACTGAAATCACATCAGCACAATGTTATGCTGTGTATTTGGTGGGACACTCACAGTGATCTGTGAGAGTCCCACCAAATACATCAGTCCACAGAATACCACTCTAATTTCCAAAATCTACTGCACTCAGCTGCAACGTTTGACTGATGCTATCAACACTAAGTAGATGAATACTGTGCACTTTCTTTGTGACAATGCAAGACCACACGTCGAGGTTGAATCAGCAGAAGCTGCTCAATTTTGAGCAAAGGTTTTCCTCACCTGCACATGACCGAGATTACGCATCAACTAATTACCATGGAACACTGGTAATGTGTCAATGAATGAATGAAGGGAATTACTTCATTCAGTCATTGATACATTGTTTGTCTATCACAACTCAATCTAGTTGTAAGTATAAATGATAAATATAATGTTCAATAATCATTACCTATGAATTAGTAATTTATATTAAATACATTATTATTATTATTATTATTCTAATAAAACTTAAAATTTTTTATATAATAAATAATTGCTTCATTTATTTACAATTAGCTTCAGTTTTAATAGATATAGAATTAAAAATTGTATTTACAAGTGAAAATTTATGATAAAATGCACTGGTGTAATTGCTTCCTCTTTCATCATAGGTTTTGATTTCTTTAATCAAAATTAGGTAGTCCTTAAAAGAGTACTTTTTTGAAACAATTTTAACTTGGTTTATGGTCCAATTTCTGTTTGTTAACTGAAAGTGACATAATACCACTGCAGTCATAACAACTATTGCTTTCAACTGTGCTGATGATTAGTGTGGCTGAATGACCTTTTCCTGTAGTGTTGGCATTCTAGAAGTCTTCATCTTTAATTGAATGCTGCACATAATTCCTCCAATTTTTGGCACTCACTTGCAAAAGTGTAACTTATCAGTCTCTGGACATCTTGTAGTTTGAGATGTGTTTCTCTGGATAAGTTACTTTTCACTTGACTTGCTACCATTTCAATTGGATTTAACTGATAATGGCATGAAGGAACACACAACACTCAGCATCCATAAACTTTTTCCAACTTATCAATAACATTTTTCATGTTTCTCCCTCATTAATTTCACCAACTGAAGAAGCTCAATCTTCAGCATGCCTGGGGGTATATAATACCTTTTTATACAGCCATGACAAGATGTGCCGTTTCTTTCAAGCTGCAGTTGGAGATTTTTTCTATTTTACACAGTGGTATTTTGCATTATCACGATAATGCAGCTATTGTGCTCTAGTTTCAGTAGAACTGATTCAAACCATTTATGGGATAATTTGTCATGCATTTCATTTTGATAACTCAGGTGTGTTTTGGATTTAAAGATTAAGCTAACTTCTTTAACAAATCCACCGTTACTTCCAATGCAAACCAAAATCAGCCACTTGCCTTTTCTACTAGGATTTTTCAAACTTATTGAGCAGCCATCGGTTTGCGTTTGCTTGGCTGATTTGATTGTACTGTCTGTTACACTCTCAATATAGTATGCTGTACTCCAGGTATCATTGCTGAATTAGATTTTCTGAATTCCAGATGTTTCTTATTGCACAAAGACCCTCTATCTTTTGTCTCCACAACATGATGTCATCCCTTTTATCTCATTTGCATAAACTGATAATTCAGATATTTTGTGAACCATGAATTCAATGAGTGCATCAAAGCAAGATTCTAATTTAATGGATTGATAAATATTTTCAAAGTTCATTACCATTCCTATCTCCTCATCTGTTAAAGTTAAACACTCCAATTCCTATATGACTTTGGCTAGATCCTGGGCAACATGTCCTCTGGTTGGTTGGATATATATCCAACCAACTAGAGGACATGTTGCCCAGTCTATGTAGGTGTTTTTCAAAAATATAAGTTGATATATTTCATTTTTGTAATACAGGTCTAATTTACTTGTTTTTTTGTTGCTCAAACACTATTAAGTGTGACAAATTTAAACATTTGGCAGTTTTCCATCTTTATTTAGTTGCTTGTTTTTCTTGTGAGTTTTTGTGAAGGCAAAAATTCTTGGCATTTGGGGGCTAGGGTTATGTGACCTTTTTAGAATGTAAGACAGAGACTAACTAGGTTTCTTTAAGCTTCTTAACTTTTCTGTCTATCCTCACAACAATTTTTTCCATCTACTATTTTTCAATCTATTTTTTAAATATAATCTTCCACAGCTTTGTTATACAATTGGTTTTACATAATTACCAATTGTTTACTTTTATCTGCTCTTGTTAAGATCAAATCATTCTCCATTAGCCACTGTTCTGTTCTTCTTATGTTTATCTTTTCATTTTTTTATTCTATGCATCTCTTATCACTGAGTGGGATGAAACAAACATCGTGAAAACAGTACACTTTCCAGCTCTTGCAATGACCATAGAAAAAAGAAATACAGTAATACCTAGACTTACGCGAACCTGGAGTTATGCGATTTTCAAATCTCGTCGATTCGTCTTTTGTTTGAGCGCCACGCAACTCTTGATTACTCACTCCCTCCACACTATTGTTCAGCTTACATGTTCAGACATGTCGTGCGGAATCGACACATAGCTACAATTTATTTTGTCTTATTTATTTCTGTGTTTGTAATATCTATGGAGACTTGACAGACTATGTGGTGATTTCTTGTAACCGTGAACGAATCAAAAGACGAGATAAGATTAACGAGAACATTTATTAGCTTACATACATCCGACTTGGATTTTACACAAATTGCGAAATTATACCCCGACTTNCAGAAGATGAGCTTACATTCTTATGGGCAAGTGAGGAAAGTGGCTTTCGACATTTATATTTAATAACTGTGAGCCTGTTAATGGAAAACTTTTCTGATTATATCGTTAATAACACATTTGAAAAACCAGAAAGTGAGCCCTTGGCAAAATTTTACAATTTATTTATTTTCTTCGTGGTCTGAAGCACTAATTTTCTTCTTACAGCTTTTTCTAGTAACAGAGTTCAAAAGAAAATTACTTTAACTGAAGGAGAATGGGAAGTCTCTGACAAAGATGTAAGTTATCATCATTTGTTTTTAATTGTTAAAGTTAGTCCCAGAATTATGTAACTTTGGGCTTGTGTACATTATTTTTGGTATAGTTGTAAAGGTAATTTTTGTGTAATTTTATTATAATGTGATTAATTTTGTGGTTGATTTGGTTTGGAAAATTAAAATAATAAGCATGTTTTACTTGCTGGTATGTAAGAAAGTCAAAATTAGATATTTGACTTCCCTCTCAATTTCTAAAGTGAACTATGCTAATAGAAATGCAACGTGTTTTTCTGTATTTTATTTGTTACTAAATATTTCTCTATATTATCCATTATTTCTTGCATGTCGACTGCATAAGGTGACTGATTAGTAGCTGTTGGACTGAGTTAAATAATTAAATTACCAATTAGAATTAGAGGTTAGTCTAAGTATGCTAGCAAATTTGAATTTTTAAGTTTAGTAACTATTTTGAAGACATTTTACTCAGGTCTAGGTATATTCAAAAATTATTTTAATATAATAAATTTAAATATAGCAGTTACCATCTTATATCTTATCTTATCATTTATAGATATTGTTTGTATTAAACAAAAATTGTTGAAATTTATAACTGCTTCAGTAGATATTCAATCACACACAACCTTATATAGCAGCACAAACTGTTATTAAACTAGTGTTTTTGTCATATTCAACATCCTTTGTCTGGTTTGTTAAACAAAAGTCAAACAATTTAAAAATCAAATAAATTACAAGTGCTAATGGAAAATGGAATTAAAACATTAAAATGTCAAGCAAGGTTTAAAAAATTGAAATAAAATAATTTTTTATTGCATATAAGATCATATTTTATTTCAGTTTTTTAAACCTTGTTTGGCATTTTAATGTTTTTTGTTCCATTTTCCATTAGTGCTTGTAAATTGTTTGATTTTTAAATTGCTTGACTTCTGTTTAGCAAACCAGACAAAGGCCATTCAATATGACGAAAACACTAGTTCAATAAAGGTTTTTGCTGCTATACAAGATTTTTATGATTGAATTGATGATAAAATATTTTTATATTCTGGCCTATTGGAATATTAAAATAACCATATGCACAGAAAAAATTAACATTTTTAATGTTATGAGTGCACACTCAACACAAAAAAGAACCGTAGATGGCTAATGCAAATGCTGTTTACCTGCCAACATGTTACTTTTATTCATAAGTCCATTCATGGTGAATAAAGTCCATTCTTCAAATTGAAGACACTTTTCTTTTATGATAGGTATTTTTATATTATAGAATAAATTCTATATTTAATGGATCTATTATAGATAACACATTAAATCTTCATTAAATTACTGTGGTATCAAAAATATCACTCATATTAAAAAGTTGTTTTGAAGGAATTTGTAGCATATAGCAATCTTGTGTACTGTACATATAGCAAGTTTTACTGTAATTGTTTACAGTAAAACCTGCAAAAGCTGGAACTTAGCAGGACTATTTTGTTTTTCCATATCTCGCAGGTTTTCTGCCATTAACAGGATGTAATCTTACCGCTTTTCTATTGCCTATACAAATGCGACAGAAATGTTTATTTACACATATATGGGATTGGATGAAAAAATAAGGCTTTTTATATTATGTTCATAATTTGTTAGATATGTTTGCATACATTATAAAGATTTTACATATAAATAAGTGGACAAAGTTTAGTTTTTAACAAAACAATCTAGCATCAATGGGCCTCATTCAGAATAATCCTTAATGCAACAGACCTCATACAAAAAAGGAAGTGGAATAAATCTAACCCTCTCCACTCAAAAATCTGGAACAGTTATCACATCTTAGGAAATAAATTTTCAATAATGAATGAACACTATCCATAAACCTTAGATGGAACATGGTTGAAATTTTAAAGTTTCCTCCACCCTGATAAAAGGTGCCGGGGTTGCTTAAGTTTTGTGAAATTAAAAAGGTCTGTGAAAAAAACAAAATAAGCCAACTTTTTAATCAATTTTTTAATTAAATGCATATCTTACAAGATATTTCTTGGGGACATTATAAATTGACCACCTGACATACAAACATCCAGAAATTTAGATTTTAATATGTAGTTTCATTATGTTATATAAATGTTTTTTATGTTCTCGTGACTATTTTTTTTTTAATACTTTATTTAATTATTTTATTGTTTAAACTTAGTTTAAAAACATAAAATAAATAGTATAAATAGAAATTTATTAAAGCAGGGGGTTCTCCTTTGAGAAGATAAAGAATTTAATAAATTTCTGGATTTGCCAATATTTAAAACATAAGATTTAAATATAAAACATAAGATATAATAATATAATAACAATAAGATTTAAATAAAACATAAGATTTTATTTTATTTATAAATTTATAAACTAGAAAGGTACTTGAATATTAAAATAATTAAAACTATATTTTAAATAAGGTGTGGGTTCAGGAAGAAAAGAGATTAGTGTTCTTCATTGGTCTGAAAGACACTCCTTTAGAAAGACATTTGTAAGCATTAATTAATTTTTTTAGTGTTTTTCTTTATAAAATAATTATTTAATAAATTTTTAATATACTAATTTAATTTTTTTCAGATATGTAGTTTCTTTAGATTATCCAAGGAACATAACTTGCTTGACAGTTCCTGGATTTTCTCATGTTGTAGCAATGAATAAGGTAAGGGCAATTGTTTTTGTGGTATTTTTGTGTGTACACATTAGAGAGGTTGAGGCGCACGTTTTAAACGTGTACGTGTGACGTTCGGCGCCGCTTTCCCGTAAGCCTAAAAGTTTGACGATGGTGTTTGAAATGTCGAGCGTGATTCCACCGACTATCCAAACACCATTGTCAAACTTTTAGGCTTACGGGAAAGCGGCGCCGAACGTCACACGTACACGTTTAAAACGTGCGCCTCAACCTCTCTAATGTGTACACACAAAAATACCACAAAAACAATTGCCCTTACCTTATTCATTGCTACAACATGAGAAAATCCAGGAACTGTCAAGCAAGTTATGTTCCTTGGATAATCTAAAGAAACTACATATCTGAAAAAAATTAAATTAGTATATTAAAAATTTATTAAATAATTATTTTATAAAGAAAAACACTAAAAAAATTAATTAATGCTTACAAATGTCTTTCTAAAGGAGTGTCTTTCAGACCAATGAAGAACACTAATCTCTTTTCTTCCTGAACCCACACCTTATTTAAAATATAGTTTTAATTATTTTAATATTCAAGTACCTTTCTAGTTTATAAATTTATAAATAAAATAAAATCTTATGTTTTATTTAAATCTTATTGTTATTATATTATTATATCTTATGTTTTATATTTAAATCTTATGTTTTAAATATTGGCAAATCCAGAAATTTATTAAATTCTTTATCTTCTCAAAGGAGAACCCCCTGCTTTAATAAATTTCTATTTATACTATTTATTTTATGTTTTTAAACTAAGTTTAAACAATAAAATAATTAAATAAAGTATTAAAAAAAAAATAGTCACGAGAACATAAAAAACATTTATATAACATAATGAAACTACATATTAAAATCTAAATTTCTGGATGTTTGTATGTCAGGTGGTCAATTTATAATGTCCCCAAGAAATATCTTGTAAGATATGCATTTAATTAAAAAATTGATTAAAAAGTTGGCTTATTTTGTTTTTTTCACAGACCTTTTTAATTTCACAAAACTTAAGCAACCCCGGCACCTTTTATCAGGGTGGAGGAAACTTTAAAATTTCAACCATGTTCCATCTAAGGTTTATGGATAGTGTTCATTCATTATTGAAAATTTATTTCCTAAGATGTGATAACTGTTCCAGATTTTTGAGTGGAGAGGGTTAGATTTATTCCACTTCCTTTTTTGTATGAGGTCTGTTGCATTAAGGATTATTCTGAATGAGGCCCATTGATGCTAGATTGTTTTGTTAAAAACTAAACTTTGTCCACTTATTTATATGTAAAATCTTTATAATGTATGCAAACATATCTAACAAATTATGAACATAATATAAAAAGCCTTATTTTTTCATCCAATCCCATATATGTGTAAATAAACATTTCTGTCGCATTTGTATAGGCAATAGAAAAGCGGTAAGATTACATCCTGTTAATGGCAGAAAACCTGCGAGATATGGAAAAACAAAATAGTCCTGCTAAGTTCCAGCTTTTGCAGGTTTTACTGTAAACAATTACAGTAAAACTTGCTATATGTACAGTACACAAGATTGCTATATGCTACAAATTCCTTCAAAACAACTTTTTAATATGAGTGATATTTTTGATACCACAGTAATTTAATGAAGATTTAATGTGTTATCTATAATAGATCCATTAAATATAGAATTTATTCTATAATATAAAAATACCTATCATAAAAGAAAAGTGTCTTCAATTTGAAGAATGGACTTTATTCACCATGAATGGACTTATGAATAAAAGTAACATGTTGGCAGGTAAACAGCATTTGCATTAGCCATCTACGGTTCTTTTTTGTGTTGAGTGTGCACTCATAACATTAAAAATGTTAATTTTTTCTGTGCATATGGTTATTTTAATATTCCAATAGGCCAGAATATAAAAATATTTTATCATCAATTCAATCATAAAAATCTTGTATAGCAGCAAAAACCTTTATTGAACTAGTGTTTTCGTCATATTGAATGGCCTTTGTCTGGTTTGCTAAACAGAAGTCAAGCAATTTAAAAATCAAACAATTTACAAGCACTAATGGAAAATGGAACAAAAAACATTAAAATGCCAAACAAGGTTTAAAAAACTGAAATAAAATATGATCTTATATGCAATAAAAAATTATTTTATTTCAATTTTTTAAACCTTGCTTGACATTTTAATGTTTTAATTCCATTTTCCATTAGCACTTGTAATTTATTTGATTTTTAAATTGTTTGACTTTTGTTTAACAAACCAGACAAAGGATGTTGAATATGACAAAAACACTAGTTTAATAACAGTTTGTGCTGCTATATAAGGTTGTGTGTGATTGAATATCTACTGAAGCAGTTATAAATTTCAACAATTTTTGTTTAATACAAACAATATCTATAAATGATAAGATAAGATATAAGATGGTAACTGCTATATTTAAATTTATTATATTAAAATAATTTTTGAATATACCTAGACCTGAGTAAAATGTCTTCAAAATAGTTACTAAACTTAAAAATTCAAATTTGCTAGCATACTTAGCCTAACCTCTAATTCTAATTGGTAATTTAATTATTTAACTCAGTCCAACAGCTACTAATCAGTCACCTTATGCAGTCGACATGCAAGAAATAATGGATAATATAGAGAAATATTTAGTAACAAATAAAATACAGAAAAACACGTTGCATTTCTATTAGCATAGTTCACTTTAGAAATTGAGAGGGAAGTCAAATATCTAATTTTGACTTTCTTACATACCAGCAAGTAAAACATGCTTATTATTTTAATTTTCCAAACCAAATCAACCACAAAATTAATCACATTATAATAAAATTACACAAAAATTACCTTTACAACTATACCAAAAATAATGTACACAAGCCCAAAGTTACATAATTCTGGGACTAACTTTAACAATTAAAAACAAATGATGATAACTTACATCTTTGTCAGAGACTTCCCATTCTCCTTCAGTTAAAGTAATTTTCTTTTGAACTCTGTTACTAGAAAAAGCTGTAAGAAGAAAATTAGTGCTTCAGACCACGAAGAAAATAAATAAATTGTAAAATTTTGCCAAGGGCTCACTTTCTGGTTTTTCAAATGTGTTATTAACGATATAATCAGAAAAGTTTTCCATTAACAGGCTCACAGTTATTAAATATAAATGTCGAAAGCCACTTTCCTCACTTGCCCATAAGAATGTAAGCTCATCTTCTGATTCTTGTGTGAAAAAATGAAGCACATCATGTACCTGTAAACATGCAAAAGAAAATATTGTAATTAAAAAATATTTGTTAATCAATCTTGGACTGTTCCCTTTCTAGTTTATAAATTTATAAATAAAATAAAATCTTATGTTTTATTTAAATCTTATTGTTATTATATTATTATATCTTATGTTTTATATTTAAATCTTATGTTTTAAATATTGGCAAATCCAGAAATTTATTAAATTCTTTATCTTCTCAAAGGAGAACCCCCTGCTTTAATAAATTTCTATTTATACTATTTATTTTATGTTTTTAAACTAAGTTTAAACAATAAAATAATTAAATAAAGTATTAAAAAAAAAAATAGTCACGAGAACATAAAAAACATTTATATAACATAATGAANTTGTGCAAAATAAAAAAATAATTTCAGATGATACAATAGCCACAATTATTCTTTTCAAAAACATGTAATTTTCGTTAGGCTCAACAGACAGAACTTTGAACATTGGATAGGTTAACATTCTCCTCAGGTTTGTACACAGTTGTTCATCTTGAGATGAACAGACAAATCACAACATGTGTGCATCCTGATAGTGGAAATTGACCAACTGACAATGAGAATCATTTTCTTCCCATTTTGATCACATGATATTAGCACCATGTGGAGTCAGCAGGTAACCTTAAGTGGGATTTCATTTATTGTTTTTATAAATTGATTTTTATTCTCCGTGTCAGGAAAATTATAAGTTGTAAAACTTCTACAGTGCAATACCAAATAATGGTAGGCTCCATGAGTGCACACAAGAAACTTTTACAGATAAGCTGTTCATATATTTCACTATTACCTATAATTTAATAATTATAAAGAAATGCTAGCTCTTCATAATTGCAAATAAGAGACATATTTGAATTTATAACACCATTAATTGTTGTGATGACTAATTTTAACAATGGGTAGAGATAAGTCCTAAACCACCTTTGAGTTTGGTCAAATCAGGGCCATCCATCAGTCTGGAAGTTCTGCTAGAGCTATTACAAATTCCCTTTTCCAGATGGTAAAAATCAATAAAAAAAATCTAGTGTATAAACATAGAAAAGCAACACCATACCTAAAACAACAACAACAAAAATGACTGATATGGACCAAAGATAAAATTTCGTGGACTTCAAAATGGTGTAATTTACTTGTACTGATAAGAAAAAGATCAATTTGGATGGTCCCAAAGGTTGGCAATTTTATTAGCATGATCTTAGAAGATAGGAGTTTTTGTTTGTCAAACATCAGCAAGGAGGGGCTCAGTCATGATATGGGCAGGTTTTGGATGGTCTGAAAAATTAACTTAGCATTCATAAATGGCTGAACAAAGGCAGTTGGGTATCAAAACCTCTTATATCTTGTGACATTTGGAAAGAAAATTGGTGGTCTATTCTGGCAATTGCAACGAGATAATGCACGAAGCAAATTTCATTTATCAGTGGTTACTGGATAATGGCATTCAGGATCATGGAGTGGCTTCTTATTCCCATGATTAGAACCCATAGAAAATATATGAAATTTAATAGCTACAGATATGTATGCAGGAAGAAAGCAATACCGCAGTAACTCAAAGCTGCAATAGTTAGTGTGTAGGAAAAAATCGATTTAAATATGCTGCAAAATCTGGTTAACTCTAGGAATGATAAGGTTATTTTGAAAAATGATGGTTTCACTGGCTATTAAATGCCACTGGCCTTATATTTTTGCAACACCATTATTTTTGATTGTAAATAGAATAAGTAATTCTTTTACATCTATATTTATTCATGTTGCTAATTTTTTTGTTTAATTGTAATAAAAATTTATTATTTCAAACAATTGGGATGGCCTTATATTTTTGCAACACACCTTATATTTGATAGTCGTTTAGACTCAAAAGGTAGCTTGCACCAACCTTTTAGTAAACAAGTAGTCAACAAAAGTGTCATTCGTAATGAGAATGCAACAAGGTTTAGTATCACGTTTCATTTAAAATGATGTCATAACATACTCATTTTGTTTAATGACACTGCTCTGTATCATCCCTCCAGGGCTGTAACATTTAACTGTTTCATCAAAATTTTCATCCAATTCAGCAATGTTTTCCCTGTAAGCAGTTCTTGTTGGCATCTCTTCTGAAATTTCAAGAAAAAGTTCAAGGCAATTAAAATCACTTCCATCTTTTGTGTTCACTCAGTATGATACTTAAATATAAATTTCTGTTAATGCTTATGAAAGGCCATAAGTGTCAAAGAAGGATCTATTAAATAGTGTTTGGTTGGAAGTGCTTAAAAATTTGCAAAATATTGAAAACCACAATAAAATTCTTGTAACTACGTGACTAATCAGGTTTTTAACTACAAAAAAGGTTTTAAAATGGTCTGAAAGAAAAAAAACAGAGAGAAAGAGAATAAGTCTGATTTTTACAAATGAAAATGGTATCAAACATCACAAAGGTTTGACACTACTTTTGATTTACATTGATTATTTTCTATTAATATTTGTTACGACCCCGCTGTTAAGCGGGACTAAGGCCAAAGAAGAAGATTTTCTATTAATATTTGTAACAACTAAATAAGAGATTTAAGATTTATTGTGGCTTGATTTCAATATGAAGTATGCATTCAATATTGAGTATTTATGTAATTTTGCTATGGTATACACTTTTGTTATTTTACATTTAATGATAATGAAATGAAACATCATTTTGTTTTTATTTAAAAATTCTCTAAATTAATTCTTTTATATGTAAAATCATATTTTCTAAAATTATTTTGTAGTAATAAAATATGTATAACTTGCCATGCGCCCTTTTATGTGACTTTCGAAGATGATTCCCCGATTTCTCGAACCTCTGCAGTCGGCCGCTACCACTATGTATCCTTCTTGGGCTAACAGATGCTGTCTCAAATGCCTGATAAAGATAGGCTTGCATGATCATTTCAATTGCAAACAAGAAAAAGCATTTATTTGTAAATTACCACCCGTTGATTTATAACTACAAATATTACCTCATGCCCTTATATGTATTAGTAACTAATTGTACTTCCGGACCACCATAGATAGTTAGAACGGTCGGATATTTCTTATTGCTCTGCATAAATGGCGGTTTGAATATCATACCGTATATTGTTTGACCCGACTTGAGCGAGTGACTGAAGAGTTCGGGCTGCAGATATTCAAATTCCGATAATGAAATGGCTATGAAAAGATAAGTGTCGTCAGCTTAAATATAATATCCAACGCAAACATATATTTTAATGATCAAGTTTTACGTTACAATTATACTTACAAGGTGGTTCTAAGAGATAGCCTAGAGATTGGGCTGTTATATTAAAGGGTTTTGACCCATTCTGTACCAACCGATATACTTCTCCAAATGGACCATGATTTATATTACTCTGTATACTGACAAACAGGGAACAATCCTATAAAATGTAAATATATTTATTGTATTTTAATAAATTTAGTTATCATAAATATTGTTCTATATAAAACTACATTTAATTTAATATTTAATTAAAAAAACTTTCTTTCAATTACTTCAATCCTTAAATATCTGATAGATAATGCAGCATTGTTAGATAAAATTTTCAATTGCAGCTTATCTCAAATTTGTAGTGAAATGTATAAATCTAGAGTGAAATATTTATTTAACTTAAAAATGTACAGAAATAATTCCAGAAATTTTTGGAATTATTCTAGACCACTCTGATGAAATTTGAAAGTGTCATACAACAGATGGCATTTATAAGTTTCTTGTAGTGTATGTAAATGAAGGACATTGAGAGATACAATCGTAAATGAAAAGATATTGTGTGCGCCAAAACTGAAATCACATCAGCACAATGTTATGCTGTGTATTTGGTGGGACACTCACAGTGATCTGTGAGAGTCCCACCAAATACATCAGTCCACAGAATACCACTCTAATTTCCAAAATCTACTGCACTCAGCTGCAACGTTTGACTGATGCTATCAACACTAAGTAGATGAATACTGTGCACTTTCTTTGTGACAATGCAAGACCACACGTCGAGGTTGAATCAGCAGAAGCTGCTCAATTTTGAGCAAAGGTTTTCCTCACCTGCACATGACCGAGATTACGCATCAACTAATTACCATGGAACACTGGTAATGTGTCAATGAATGAATGAAGGGAATTACTTCATTCAGTCATTGATACATTGTTTGTCTATCACAACTCAATCTAGTTGTAAGTATAAATGATAAATATAATGTTCAATAATCATTACCTATGAATTAGTAATTTATATTAAATACATTATTATTATTATTATTATTCTAATAAAACTTAAAATTTTTTATATAATAAATAATTGCTTCATTTATTTACAATTAGCTTCAGTTTTAATAGATATAGAATTAAAAATTGTATTTACAAGTGAAAATTTATGATAAAATGCACTGGTGTAATTGCTTCCTCTTTCATCATAGGTTTTGATTTCTTTAATCAAAATTAGGTAGTCCTTAAAAGAGTACTTTTTTGAAACAATTTTAACTTGGTTTATGGTCCAATTTCTGTTTGTTAACTGAAAGTGACATAATACCACTGCAGTCATAACAACTATTGCTTTCAACTGTGCTGATGATTAGTGTGGCTGAATGACCTTTTCCTGTAGTGTTGGCATTCTAGAAGTCTTCATCTTTAATTGAATGCTGCACATAATTCCTCCAATTTTTGGCACTCACTTGCAAAAGTGTAACTTATCAGTCTCTGGACATCTTGTAGTTTGAGATGTGTTTCTCTGGATAAGTTACTTTTCACTTGACTTGCTACCATTTCAATTGGATTTAACTGATAATGGCATGAAGGAACACACAACACTCAGCATCCATAAACTTTTTCCAACTTATCAATAACATTTTTCATGTTTCTCCCTCATTAATTTCACCAACTGAAGAAGCTCAATCTTCAGCATGCCTGGGGGTATATAATACCTTTTTATACAGCCATGACAAGATGTGCCGTTTCTTTCAAGCTGCAGTTGGAGATTTTTTCTATTTTACACAGTGGTATTTTGCATTATCACGATAATGCAGCTATTGTGCTCTAGTTTCAGTAGAACTGATTCAAACCATTTATGGGATAATTTGTCATGCATTTCATTTTGATAACTCAGGTGTGTTTTGGATTTAAAGATTAAGCTAACTTCTTTAACAAATCCACCGTTACTTCCAATGCAAACCAAAATCAGCCACTTGCCTTTTCTACTAGGATTTTTCAAACTTATTGAGCAGCCATCGGTTTGCGTTTGCTTGGCTGATTTGATTGTACTGTCTGTTACACTCTCAATATAGTATGCTGTACTCCAGGTATCATTGCTGAATTAGATTTTCTGAATTCCAGATGTTTCTTATTGCACAAAGACCCTCTATCTTTTGTCTCCACAACATGATGTCATCCCTTTTATCTCATTTGCATAAACTGATAATTCAGATATTTTGTGAACCATGAATTCAATGAGTGCATCAAAGCAAGATTCTAATTTAATGGATTGATAAATATTTTCAAAGTTCATTACCATTCCTATCTCCTCATCTGTTAAAGTTAAACACTCCAATTCCTATATGACTTTGGCTAGATCCTGGGCAACATGTCCTCTGGTTGGTTGGATATATATCCAACCAACTAGAGGACATGTTGCCCAGTCTATGTAGGTGTTTTTCAAAAATATAAGTTGATATATTTCATTTTTGTAATACAGGTCTAATTTACTTGTTTTTTTGTTGCTCAAACACTATTAAGTGTGACAAATTTAAACATTTGGCAGTTTTCCATCTTTATTTAGTTGCTTGTTTTTCTTGTGAGTTTTTGTGAAGGCAAAAATTCTTGGCATTTGGGGGCTAGGGTTATGTGACCTTTTTAGAATGTAAGACAGAGACTAACTAGGTTTCTTTAAGCTTCTTAACTTTTCTGTCTATCCTCACAACAATTTTTTCCATCTACTATTTTTCAATCTATTTTTTAAATATAATCTTCCACAGCTTTGTTATACAATTGGTTTTACATAATTACCAATTGTTTACTTTTATCTGCTCTTGTTAAGATCAAATCATTCTCCATTAGCCACTGTTCTGTTCTTCTTATGTTTATCTTTTCATTTTTTTATTCTATGCATCTCTTATCACTGAGTGGGATGAAACAAACATCGTGAAAACAGTACACTTTCCAGCTCTTGCAATGACCATAGAAAAAAGAAATACAGTAATACCTAGACTTACGCGAACCTGGAGTTATGCGATTTTCAAATCTCGTCGATTCGTCTTTTGTTTGAGCGCCACGCAACTCTTGATTACTCACTCCCTCCACACTATTGTTCAGCTTACATGTTCAGACATGTCGTGCGGAATCGACACATAGCTACAATTTATTTTGTCTTATTTATTTCTGTGTTTGTAATATCTATGGAGACTTGACAGACTATGTGGTGATTTCTTGTAACCGTGAACGAATCAAAAGACGAGATAAGATTAACGAGAACATTTATTAGCTTACATACATCCGACTTGGATTTTACACAAATTGCGAAATTATACCCCGACTTAAGCGATTATTGCTCGGTCCCACCTATTGCATAAGTTTGGGGTATTACTGTATATAAGATGTTTATTAAAAAAAAAAAAAAAATATGTTCCAAATTTTAATAACATAGATGGCATATAGAGCAGGTTGAAAACATTCGTTGGAATTAATAAATAATTCTGTTTGATAAGGTGTAGCTGTGAAAAGTTAAAAAAGTATATAACAGCAAAAATTAATGACTTATACCTAAATGTCAGGGATGCAAACAAATTAGCCTTGGCATGAAAATACATAAAAGAAATTAAGGTATAAAAACCCTTAGTTCGTATATGGCCCTGCAATCAACTTTATTTTTTTATTTATTTATTTATTTTTATCTAACATTTTTATTTAATCTTTCTTAAGTGTCGAAAATGACTGTATTTTGCTGTTTTAATATACCAAAAAACTGTCAATTTGAGCAGTTGTCACCCTTTCTTCCAACTGTTTAGTACTGTGCCTTATCCAGCTCCAATGGATACTTCATCTATGGAGATCTTCCTCATCTACTGTTACACATTTTGAAGAACTATTTCCTGTGATTAAGAACTTTTTCTACAACATTCCTGAACGAGTCAACCTCATCCAGTCAATGAGCATCAGACCATCCTTGAGCACCATCAACCTCAAGTATTTATCAACTCACAATCAATTGTAAACTCTCTCTCTCTCGTGCTTAACGACTCGCTGCTATTGTCCCAAAATCCTAAATTATTTTGCAACTCATGTCCGAAATGTATAATTTTTTGTGTAAATAAACAGATATTAGTTTTATTTAACCTGTGGTAGGGTGCCTTCTTTCTGTCATGTCTCTAGACCTCCTCCATTTCAAACCAGACTGCCTACACATGCGACTGCTCATGTGAAGTAACTACCTAATAGTACATTGGTTTCTGTGCCTGCCCCAAAGACACCAGTCCTGACACAGGCAATGCTGACGTGGTGCTGACCCTTTGGTCACATAATTTGAAGACAATACAAAAATAATTTGTAATCATAGCCAGTCTTTCTTGACCATAGAAATGTGAACACAACAGACTTTAGAAGCTTCTGCATTTAAAACAAAAAAAAAAAAAAAAAGTATATGAAGTTTGTCCTTTCTTCACACCTTAGGAAATAACAGTGTCATGGCTGAGTTGACCTTTCTTTAAAAATTCCTTGTCTGCCTTAATATGTAAAAATGTTACAATCTTCCTTTGAATGTTTTTTAACTATATTGTTGCCTGAAGGAAGATTGTAACATTTTACAAACCAAGGCATATGAGAAGTTTCTAAAGAAAGGTCAACTCTGCCTTGAGACTGATTTCCTAAGGTGTGTAGAAAGGACAAGATCTGAAGACACTTTTCATAATATTTTGTATATTTTGTAAGTTAATATATATATGATATATTTTAATTTAGAAAATTATACATATAATTTATAACTTAGAAAATTATATGTATATGTTGATGTTTCAACTTTGTTAGTACTTGCATTCCTGCAATACAGATAGGAAATTATAAACACCTAAAATTATTATTGTGTTTATCTTCAAATTACATAATTTTTTCTTATGAAAGTGTATTTTATATTATAATTGCTATAAAGGAAAGGAATACTCAAACTATTTAAAATCAAAATATAATATATACAATATTTCAACTTAATAGAGAGGTTGAGGTCACACGTACACGTTTACACGTTTAAACGTGTACGTGTGACGTTCGGCGCCGCTTTCCCGTAAGCCTAAAAGTTTGACGATGGTGTTTGAAATGTCGAGCGTGATTCCACCGACTATCCAAACACCATTGTCAAACTTTTAGGCTTACGGGAAAGCGGCGCCGAACGTCACACGTACACGTTTACACGTTTAAAACGTGCGC